GAAGTCCCTCGCTTTCAGTGTTCGCGATTGTGCTGACCGATCTAATTATTTTTGCGGAAATTAAATTCAATCTGAAGTTTGAATGTACCTGGAAAATCTTCCTGTTATCTGATTGGTCTGATTTGTTTATCTTGAACCTGATTGGCTGCCTGGTTCAAGACGTGTGTTGGCGCGTGTGTGACTCAACGGGGATTCCCCTTGCTAGCCGAGGAATTGATTGTGTTTGATTCTGGAGGTTGGTTGTTCTGTTGATTCTTTCAATATTTTGGCAATAATATACCCATAAGTTATTCTCAAGATATATCCGTGGCATGTGAGAAATTATATGAGCAATAATAGTGGAACTTCATTGATTGTCTGGCGAGAAACCTATGGTATACTGCATCTTTAAGTATTCTGTTCTTTCATCCAGTATATTCTTATTCCATTCAATATATTGCTCTTTCATTTAAAATACAGCATTGCTCTTTCATTAAATATATTGCTCCATCATTCAGTATACAGTATTGCTCTTTCATTCAATATACAATATTCTTCTTTCATTCTACATATTGCTCTTTCATTCAGTATACATTATTGCTTTTTCATTCAATATATTGCTCTTTCATTCAATATACAATATCAATATACAATATTGCTCTTTCATTCAGTATACAGTATTGGTCTTACATGTATATATGCTTTTTCATTCAATATATTGCTCTTTCGTTCAAAGTACTACTCTTGTGGTACACATGTATCTATAATTTTCACAGATTTTGATGATTTCATTGTAAAGAAAAAAATATGTTTTCACCAAAATAAAATGCTTATACTGTACAATATTATGGCCATATTATTTTTGATGATTTTATTTTGCATTAAACCATCAAATGTGAATGAGCTAATAGGTTATATTAGCGTGGCGGCCTTTAACTATTAGTAGACCCATCAAGCCTCTATGGAGAAAACCTTTAATAGAATACTGTTATAGGCACTGTCATAGGATCATCATCATCATCATCACACCTTACACTCTTAATCTAGCTTTGAACATTATAACCTGATATAAGCTATTAAACTTCCCCATCAAATTAACAATTTTGGTCAATTTAATGCCATATATTAGCAGAAGATAACAGACTTTAACTGTATAGTAAGATTTATAGGTAACATTTTGACAACAGTGTTACATTGTCACTACAAACTGTCGCATTAACGCCTAAAACTGAGTGCTCATCTAATTTTTATAAATGTGGATTATTTTATTCAATCTACAATGAATTTTATATGACATTGCATCAATTTATTAAGTTTGATATATTTTCATCCATTGTGCTTAGAATAGAATAGTACAATAACTTCATTTCAAAGGGCAATATAGTGAAATATTGGACCAAGGGCCGCAGGCCCAAGGTCCAATATTTCACTATTTTGCCCGCAGAAATGACGTTATTACTATTATTACCACCGTTAATGACCAGAAAATGAATTACCGTTAATGAATAGAAAATTGTACGCACTGAACGATATCACTTTTCCCGGGAAACTTAGCCGGGCGGATAATGTCATTATTGCCCGACTAAAGTCATTAATGCCCGACACAATATTTCTCACGTCAATATAGCAATTTAAATACCTTCTCAACTAGTACTAAAACCCCTAGAACAGGCCCAGGAGTGCAAGGTGGTAATAATATATGTTTTCATTGTTTTGTTACAAAAATGTCAACCTGACCTTAACCATGTATGTATATTAATCAAATAGTTTTTTTAATCTGTTCATGAATACAAATTAAATTTTAAGCATAATTGTTATGAATCTTAATTTCTCTGAGAAATCTAAATCTGATCAGCAGTCAAGCTAGACATAAGCTTCTCTTTCATACAGTTCAATTTTTGATTGACAGCTCTATTTTTAGAAGTGAAATTGATGGCTTGTGACTTTAAAACTCCAAGGTCAAGCTGATCTGGTCACTTTCTAAGACAATTTAAAAACAGAATTTTGACTGAAATTGATTGTTTTTATCTTTATATTTCTCTGTTAAAACATAAATATAGAAACATTTACCTTACAAATCATACTTGGCTATCTAACATCAGTTTACTTGAGTGGTTTTAGTTAAATCATTTTTATTTGAAAGGTTTTTTTGACACATTTTAAAGGACTGTTTTGTTAAGAATTTCAATGAAAGAACAATTTCACAATCTTCAATCATGGCTGAGTGCTATATTTTGAGTTGGTATGCACACTCGGGGATGCCTGATTGCGCGTGGCCAAAGGCCGAAATTTTTTCCAAGGACGTTATTTGATGTAATCTAAGCGTTTTTATCAGCTTTAAATGTTGACAATGGTTAACATAGGCTACAGATACGGTAGGAAGCATCAATAAATTCGCAAATAAATTAATGCATTTTAACACATTTTTAATTTTTCTCAAATTCATTTGGTACGCCTGTGCGTAATTTGCGTAATAGGCGCTACGGCTACGCCCATGTCAATAGCTTCATTTGATCTTTATTATCTTCAAGAGTTTCACTTGAATTTTATTGTGTAATGAGATATAACTGTTGAATCAGCTAGGATGGATTTTACCCTTTGTATTCGTTCAACTTCACTTCTTAAAAGAGAGCTTCGTCTTCACTCTTTCAGTTTACAATGAATCTCTGATCTCACCGAGCCAATCAGAGTTTGTCGTCGAAAAAACGGACAACTTTTCATATGGTCATTTCCTCTGACATCACCGCATAGTTAATGAGTATATATTTAGCATGTGTTTTTTCCACTTCGCTGATTGGTTGGTAGATGATTACCCTGGCTGTCAAAGGCGCCAATCTTTGGGGTTGGGCTGCTAAACTGTAATTAATATAGTCTATACTAGACAGAAGGTAGTTTATAACTAGACTCTGCACGCAGGGTAGATGAATTTGTAAATTATTACGAGATTTAATCTTTTAAACCACTTGTATTAATTAATTAAAGAATAAAATGGTTGTTTTCCTGAGTAGTTCTGCTTTTATACTACGCAATCAATAACATGTCACCAATTTGCATTCACATTTCTTTTGATTTAGTATAGTAGATTTTTTATGGTATTGAATACATACAGAAGTTGACTCTCAAAATGACTTTGAGCACCCCTTGATGATTTCTGTCACCAACCAGTCCTAAATTGACCTATCTCTGAAAAGTAAGTAGTAATTTGAAAATCCTTCATAATCTGATAATTGGGGTTGCAGATAGATATCAAGAAGGCATCCTACTGAAGGTTAGGGAGAATAATGGAATAATTGCAGTATTTTACATATTATAGCAAAACATGTACAGTATAGTAGAACCTTGTTCCACTTTCAAGGTGTTCCACTTACAGAGGTTCATTAACATGGAGTCAATGGGCCACACAGTACTATATATTATTTTTTCAACCTCTTATTGTTATATGTTCGGAATTTTCAACAATATTTAGCTATACAGAGCTTTTCCTGAAATTTACATTTTTGAGAATAGTGTGAATTACATGTCTGCCATTCTATGGCTTTTTAATCAAACTGTCTGATGATGGAACTGCAGTCTGATTGTTTGTCTGTAATTAACTGCATAAAGCAGGTAAAGTGAAGACTGCTTAGTATTAGTTGTGGATGATCACAGAACACAAAAGAGAGGATGACATGAACAAAGCAAAACTTAAACCTTAATCATCTATAAAGCCTGATATTTCTTAGATCATTGAGTTAGAGAGATTTATTTAATCAGAAATCATTTTATATCACCATACCTGATTTTTATGGTACCTAAAAATGAAATTTTTTATTTTATTTATTTTTTCTATTTTTTTCATCCACCATATTTCTGTTATGTTTAAATAAGATTTTTACATTATTTTACTTTAAATTTTAGAATTACATTTATAATACAATTAAACAACATTTTTGATATGCTTTGACATTTTGATACTGTACCCTTAGAAGAAAAATTTTGGAGATTGTTGAGAAGACATTTAACTACTGCAATGTCATATATAAAACACATGTAAATAACTGTATAGTGACCCATGTGTCGGAGAGACTGACATACATAAGAGTCAATAAAAGAAATATATATATATATATATATATCTAGCTAACAAATCATGAAATGATTTTTCAGTTTCTGTGCTAATAAGATCTCTAATGCTCTAATGCAGTTTTCATGAGATTTTAATGCGAAATGAATGACAGCTGTATAGGCAGAAAATATAGTACAGTTATCTGGCACATATTACTACAGCCCTTTTCCTTGTTTTATTTTGTCAGTAAAACCTAAAAAATAAGAAATCAAAAGATATGTCATTCATGTACAGTATGAATATACATTTCCATATATTATTGCACAATGGTCTCCTGATTTCTTATTTTTGGGGTTCTACTGACGGAATAAATCAGTGAAATGGGCTGTAGATCAAATACTAGTACAATAACGTCATTTCGAAGGGCAATATAGGGAAATGTTGGACCGAGGGCCGAAGGCTGGTTGTTAAATGCATTCTCGACCGGTCGTTAAATGCATTCTTGACCACCACTATGACGTCACATATTGCTCAGGTCGATATAGTAAAATGAATGCCTTCTAAACTAGCACTAAAACCCCTAGAACTGGCCCGGCAAGGTGGTAATAATATTTGTTGTTTTAAGTAAAATCAATCATCAAGCATCTCAGAGAAATACCGCAGGGTATTTAATGTCATGTGATGTGTATTGAACCCAGTGATCTTCCCAGCATTAAAGCAAGTAGGCGCTACACCCCCTTGAGATTTTAAAAATAGGCTTGCACCTGCCTGAAAATCCATTTGCACCCACTTGAAAATGAGAAAAAGCAAGAAAAATATTTTGACTAAATTGGTCTAAATTGTGAAATCAAGAATTTTGCACCCACTTGAGAAAAAATCCTGGGGAGAACACAGAAACCAAATACAAATGAAAACCATGATAGTGAGAGATGATAGTCGTATTATTATATTATTAATTTATCTCTTGTATTTTAAGGTTGCGTATAACAATGATCTCCACACAGTGTTTAGTGCCTCAAGAGACAAGACGGTTAAACTTTGGCAGGCCAATCAGATCTCTCCAGTCAAGACTCTCACGGGACACGAACTAGTCGTGACAGCACTCAGTTTAAATTCAGGTAACCTCATGTTATGTCAATAGATGTATAATCTTAAAAAAGACAGTTTACAGTCACTTAACTGTTAAAGAGGCTCTATGCCATAGGATAGCACAATCAAGACCCCTCTGGATCTTTTTGCATATTGAGTTTCACCACATATTCACCCATCTACTTACCAACAAAGATTAGTCACAAATCCCCCATGTTAAGTGTTAATTTTGCTATTGTGCTGACTGATCTTGTTATTTTCGCGGAAATTAATTCAATATGAAGTTTGAATAAACCGGGAAAATCCCCCTGTTATACAATACCCATTATTCTCAAGATACACGTATATCCATGTGAAATATTATATGAGCACTAATAATGGGACATCATTGATTGTCTGGGTGAGAAACCTATGGTATACTGCATCATTAATACATTTAGACTCAAACCCCCATTCCATAATCTTTTCCCTATACCATGTTCAACTGAATGTAGGGAGGACCAAGCATGCAAAGATATTCTTCTTTATCCTATGCCAAGTAGAGTTTTAGGGAGATAAGTTGGTAAGATAGGTTGAGGTTTCCATATCCAGAACCTCTATATCTCCCGCCATATCTCCCGCTTTGGTGCATATCTTCCCGCTTCGGTGCATATCTTCTCGCTTCGGTGCATATCTTCCCGCTTCCGGTAAGAAGTGGAAATGCAATAAAATGACTTTGCATATGAATGATTTGTTTATTTTTACACCTTGTACTATTGAAATGGCCCCTGAAAACTCTACTTGGTATAGGATAAAGCAGTTATGTAAGGTTGGTTTGGATATTGGGTTCATCCCTCGTGAGATATGTACATCTACCTTCGGTCCCTACGGTCCCTCAAGTAGATATGCATATCTCCCTCTGGATAAACCCCATATCCAAAACCTCCCAGTACATAACCCTTATTTATAGCAAAACCTTGAGTATCCTTTTATCCCATACTTCTATAGATACATTTTCTTGAACCTTATAATAACTTGATTGTGCTTATATTGACTGTGTAACATGTTGACATTAATAGTAGAAATTAGGCTTATGGGCCATGTAAACCAGCACAGAATATGCAAATTAGATAGATACATACATTATTATATGTATTTATATATATGTATGATATATATACAAGCATGGAATATGTTAATAAGATAGACTATATACATATATAGAACTACAGTAGATACATAACAATTAATTTATTAGTTGGCAGAGAATATGTTAATTAAATAACAATAATTCATGAATATCCTACATTGAGATATCTATGAATATGCTTTAATTTATGAGATATGTGTGTATTGTATACATGTTATATATGTATGTATTTGTATATATCTTCTAAGCTGGTCCCCAGTCCCCAGTTCCCAGTTTGAGATATCTATATTGTTATTTATAATATGTATGTATTTGTATGTATCTTTTAAGAAGGTCCCCAGTCCCCAGTTCCCAGTTTGAGATATCTATATGCTATATATAATATGTATGTATGTATCTGTATGTATCTTCTAAGCTGGTCCCCAGTTCCCAGTTTGAGATATTGCTATATATAATATGTATGTATTTGTATGTATCTTTTAAGAAGGTCCCCAGTCCCCAATTTCCAGTTTGAGATATATATATTGTTATATATAATATGTATGTATTTGTATGTATCTTCTAAGCTGGTCCCCAGTCCCCAGTTCCCAGTTTGAGATATTGCTATATATAATATGTATGTATTTGTATGTATCTTTTAAGAAGGTCCCCAGTCCCCAATTTCCAGTTTGAGATATCTATATTGTTATATATAATATGTATGTATTTGTATGTATCTTCTAAGCTGGTCCCCAGTCCCCAGTTCCCAGTTTGAGATATCTATATGCTATATATATATGTATGTATGTATCTGTATGTATCTTTTAAGAAGGTCCCCAGTCCCCAGTTCCCAGTTTGAGATATCTATGTTTGTGTATATACGTATTTGTATGTATCTTCTAAGCTGGTCCCCAGTCCCCAGTTCCCATTTCGAGATCTCTATGTTAAAGTATGTAAACTATTTTAAAGTAAATTTTAATCATTCAAGATTCATCTTGATCCATTCTCTTTTATGAGTTGATAGCAATATACACTGAGGATGAATCCTATATAAGACCTCATTTAGATGTGATTTCTTCAAAATTTAAGACAGAGAATAAATTATGGCATCAACCAAAATGTTAGACCTTTTTCTACAATGTGTGATAATATGAGTCTATTCATGCAAGTATTAAGGAAAATATAGCCTGTTGCAGTGGTTCACTTTTTTGGACCACTCTGTATATTTACTTCTCTTATTGCATGTTTAATGGTATAGACTGGACTGGTGTAGGTGGAAGAGTCATCTAATAGTCATTAAGTTATCATCTTTACATAACACTTTAAAATCCAAGAACAGCCAGATTTTATTTAGGAAGAACTTCAATGTCTATCTGATATATAATAAAATATGTGAAAATTAGAAAGATTGACCTTTTTGTTATCCTAGTCACAAGTTTAACCTTTCCATATAGACTGAAGAGTTGACATCCTGGATATTTAGGAGAACCTGTAAAGGATTGGTATTGATATGGTGAACTTTTTGAACACACTTTTCTCTTAAATCAGTCATCAAAAATTTCTAAAAATTACATAGTCTATTGTCAATTTAATGGTCATCTTTTGAATGGTAACAATATAATTTGAAAAAATGTATATACTTTTCTCTTTATTGTTTTAGAAAACACATCAAACACTTCTTTTGCTTCTGGTATCACATGCTCAGAATGAAATGAAACATCTTTCCAAACCTGTTTTGAACAAAACGACATATACACAACATGTTTAAGTCTCTCAATATTGTAATTGTACAAAGGAAATTTTGGTTGATTTTAAAAAAGTATCTTGTTGATGAAATAAAAGGTTTATCTTGATTTATATCTATTTTTGGGGGGTTTTGTTTTACTTTTTTTCTAATTTTGCTTCAATATATTGAAAAGGTAGAGAATTCATAATACATTGAAATACATTAGACTGAAAGCTTCTGAAATTGACTCTCTATTTAAAATCAGTATCAAGATAAGACATAAAATGATCCATCTTAAGTAGACACATATGTTTGGATAACTAACAGCTTATCAGCTTTGCTTCATATAACTGTATAATTCTTTTCCAATCTGGAGACAGATTATCTAAGTTATGTAAGTTATGGGTTTGTCTCATTACTGTAGTCTTGACTGGATTAACTGTTTTCTACTAGAAGATAGGTTTCAGGCTGATTCAATGTATAATTCAAAGACAATTTTAAAGAGTTCTTCAAAGTTAAAGTTCTGTCAAGTCTGGAGTAAAGTTAAAATTTCTATAATGAAATATGAAGTATAAAATATCTACATTGGAATCACTTATAATTTTAGACATACTATGACCATTGCAGCTTACCATTTTTGACCTATATCCCTATCATAGGCGTAGCCAGGAGGTAGGGGTGATGACCAATAAAAAAATGAGAGCTTTAAAATGCATTTTGTTTGAAGCTTCTAGCTAATAGCAAAAATTTGGCGATCGCGAACCCCCCCCCTGGTCTGCTGGTTGCGCTAATGTCTTTTATTTCCACATATAGAGTAACTCAGTGAAATATACAAGTTTAATGTTAAACGTTGCTCTAAAGTTTGTGTAACTGATATATACCTGGTGTGCTCATGTGGCCAGTATTAGTAAATAATTTGAAGAGAATTACTCCAGTCAGTTTTCAATCATGATAGGAACTGGATGTGAACAGGTGAAATTATCATAATCATTAGTTCACTAACATTATAACATATGTCTCTCATGCATATAAATATATAGATAGACATTCTATTTTAAGTTAATCTTCAGTTGTCATTTGATGAATGACCTGTTCAAATTAAAAACGTTGCTCTAATTCATTAAATCATTGACTTCACTACTTCCATAATTCAATCAACTAAACGATTACTTCCTATTTATTTCTGCAAGTCATATCAGATCATATCTTGAAAATATGATACTTGAAAACATCGGGATATATAGAGATTATCCTATATGAGGTTCAGGATATTACGGCCCTCGGGCAGATATATTATATTGGCCAAGGGATAATCCAAATATCCTGAACCGACTATAGGATGATTTGTTTATCCCATACCAATCACATTGTTCAATTGGCCAAAGTTCAGAAACTTTGCAACCAACTGTAGAATTATTTTAAAATGTCCAGTTTTGGATTCTTGTTTCTTTTCCTGTTCAAATCTTTGATTATTAATGGGGTATACTGCTCCTTCCCTTCTTTAACGCATCAAACTGATCGCGATTGTCTGCGTTTTTCTCCATTGTGGTTTACAGTATGCTAAAGTTACAAAAAAAAACCAATACGGGAACAGCGATTATGACGTAGCGGGCAGATATACTATATCTGACCGCTCGGAGCGGGACGTAAAGCTATATCTGCCCGCTGATGAAAATATAAGTTTTTACAAACAGGCTTTATGTACCTGTAACACGTCCAAGTATGGGATAAAGAATTGATATCTTGGATGAGCATGACATATATAGAGATTATCCTATATGAGGTTCAGGATATTGGGATTATCCCGAGGTAAATATAATATATCTGTCCGAGGACCGCAGCTAGGTCCAGAGGGAAAATATATTATATTGGCCAAGGATAATTCCAATATCCTGAACCGACTATAGGATAATATGTTTATCCCATACCAATCTTGGTCATCACATTGTTCAATCGTGGAAATATTTTAGAATATTCATGTCCAGTTTTGTTTTCTTGGCCGTGGGCGGATTTTCCTGTTCTCTCAAATATTCCCACATCTATTTTCTCGAATTTTTGATTGATTAAGTGGATGCTCCTTCCCTTTCTTAAACCTTCAAACAGATCCCGTAATATATACCTGTAACACATCCAAGTAAACATGTTTATCCCATACTTGGGCGTGTTATAGGTACATAAAGCCGGTTTGTAAAAACTTATATTTTCATCAGCGGGCAGATATAGCTTTACGTCCCGCTCCGAGCGGGCAGATATAGTATATCTGCCCGCTACGTCATAATCGCCGCTCGCATATTTGTTCATAATTTGTTACGTTCGCGTAATGACTGTAATTGACAATGGAGAAAACACAGACAATCGGGATCTGTTTGATGGTTTAAAAAAGGGAAGGAGCATCCACTTAATCAATCAAAAATTCGAGAAACTAAATGCGGGAATATTTGAGAGAACAGGAAAATCCGCCCACGGCCAAGAAAACAAAACTGAACATGAACATTCCAAAATATTTCCACGATTGAACAATGTGAACCAGATGACCAAGATTGGTATGGGATAAACATATTATCCTATAGTCGGTTCAGGATATTGGGATTATCCCTTGGCCAATATAAAATATTTTCCCTCGGGACCTGCGGCCCTCGGGCAAATATATTATATTTGCCTCGGGATAATCCCAATATCCTGAACCTCATATAGGATAATCTCTATATATATATTCCAATGTATATTTCCCGCTGCGTATCTCCCGATCCAAATATTCCCGGGAAAATGTTTTTATTCAGTGTAAAAACAGTCAATTTGTAAAAGTATCTTGCTAAAGCAAAACTGTCCAAATAGATCCAGCAGACCGTAGAATTTTTCTTAACTAAAATGATGATGGATTACTTGAAAATAATGAGAATGAGAACGCTTATGGCCTAGTCACATAGCCCGGCCGATGTCCGGCATCGGTAGAGCTCGGTGGATTTTTTGGTGCCACCGAGCTCTCCTCATCGGAAGCAGAGCTCGGTGACGTGAACGGACTCTGACCGGACATCTTCAGGCGACCGACCGAACACCGGCCGGTGACCGTACAGAGTCTGTCTCAAAATGGGAGTTTTTTTCTGCCGATGTGGCAGCAACTACCGGCCGGAGGTCGGCCGGACATCGGAAGGAATACGGCCGGTACCCGAGCAGGTAACAGGACACCGTGCGATCGCCGGCCGGGTTGTTAACGGGCTTTGAACAGTGACCGGCCGATGCTCTGTCCCACATCGGCCGGAGCTCGGCCGCTGTCCGTTAAAAAAACTCGTCCTCTGGTTGTCTCAGATGCACGGGACACCGGCCGATACTCGGCCGTGCACCGGCCGACGTGTTTTCCGATGTGGTTACGTTGGGGCTGCGATGACATGATGAGGGAGCTCGGTGAGAGCCCGGTGAAATTTAACTCCGAAGTTAAAATTTCACCGAGCTACCACCGATGCGGTTTTAAGCAACAAACGCCACGGATGTCCGGCCGGTGTCCGGCCGGTGTTCGGCCGAGTTCGGTGAAAATTGCATCGCTGCCTCATCGTAACCTCATCGGCCGGGCTATGTGACTAGGCCATAACTGGATATGCAGGGTGTCCTGAAAACTTCACTTGTAAAACCTCACTTTTCATAGGATAAATTAGTTATGTGATGATCGGTTTTGAATAATGATCACTGGGAAGATTTCAGTTAAAGAGCGAATATCATACAATGTTTATTGATGATATGTTGACATTGCTGATCATTATTGACATCGCAGATGGCGAATAAGTACCAAAAGGTAACGCTTTGTGCGAATATTACTCATGGTGAATTTCTGATGGAATTTCTTACTACGACATAATAACCATTTAATAGGACATTGTATGACCACTATCAAATAATTTAACCGAGTCGTTTTTAACTTCTCAATTTACATTTTTTGTTTACAATCACACGAGACATGTGAGCCCGGGTATGTGAGGCTGATCTGAAAAGTCTTAATAAACAAAAGCTCTGTCAAAAAAATGATTAAATAAAATTACATAAGATTCGGAATGAAAGTGCCCCGTCCATATGAAAGGTGTATATTAATTTCATATTCTGTCAATGTTTAATACATGTACATATTAGATTTACAATTGTACTTTTTTGTTACGATGTTATATTCATTTCATATTCTGTCAATGTTTAATACAAATACTCAATCTCAAACTGGGAACTGGGGACTGGGGACCAGCTTAGAAGATACATACATACATATAACATAGATATCTCAAAATGGGAACTGGGGACTGGGGACCAACTTATAAGATACATACAAATACATATATACACAAACATAGATATCTGGGAACTGGGGACTGGGGACCAGCTTAGAAGATACATACAGATACATACATACATATTATATATAGCATATAGAATATAGATATCTCAAACTGGGAACTGGGGACTGGGGACCAGCTTAGAAGATATATACAAAAACATACATACATATTATATATAGCATATAGATATCTCAAACTGGGAACTGGGGACTGGGGACCAGCTTAGAAGATATATACAAATACATACATATATAACATGTATACAATACACATATATCTCATAAATTAAAGCATATTCATAGATATCTCAGATATTCATATATATAATAATGTATGTATCTATCTAATTTGCATATTCTGTGCTGGCATATAATATATATATGCATGAATACATAGATATATGTATGTATACATATATGTATCTATTTAATTTGCATATTCTATGCTGGTTTACATGGCCCATAAGCCAGAAATTAATAGAAATTAATCTTTTTTAGTTTGCATTATATGATGTTAAAAGGTTATTGGGAGGCCATTGACTCTTATTTCACCATGCAGATGTAAAATAAGATATATTACTTGTTAATTAAATCACCCCTGGATGAATATCATTTTTCAAACTACTAGGCAAGCTAAATCTGGGATGCATACAATTGTATAATTATACTGTCTATATTATTTAGCTTGCAGTTTTAAGAAAAAATGTTTCAAGTACAGCAAAACCTGTCTCAGTGGAACACCTTTAGTACCTCTGAAATTGTTCTACTTATAGAGGTTGATTGAACATTAAGTCAGTTGGTCTTGGGACTTTGAAAAGTGTTCTACTAACACTCCGGGTGCTCCCCGGGGTGTTCCACTTTACAAAATGGCCACTGTTAATCAACAAAATGTTCAAGATGAAATTTTCAAGATGGCTGCTAGTTCCATTCTGTGCCAGTCCTTATTTCCTAATTGTCCTTGCTATAATATCTATTAGTATCCTTTTGAAATCACTTACAGAAAGGATATTATTAATGTTGAATAAATGAAATGTTGTTTAGTGTATGTTAACATGGTTAAACTACAACAGTAGTATTTTCAGCGTCACATTATATCATTCCAGATAACACAAGGCTCTGTACGGGTTCTAGGGACAATTCTCTGAGATTATGGGATATACACACAGGGTCCTGTACTCTTCAGAACGCAATTACTCGCAATCTTGTAAGTTGTCATTTTTCATTTGAATAGGCCATGTAACCTAGAATGTGATGTTTCCCAGAAAAGGGATTTGCAAATTTATATATAGCCATTGTACAGTATTTATTTTGCTTTGACTTCGATCATCAGACCCTCCTGATTGACACAGGGTCTTTAAAGTTATTGTCTTTCTTTTCCTGGAAAAGCATTGTCATATTTATTTACTTATCATGCATTTAACCTCATCATACCCTGTCTACTCAAAAGGGTCCCACTGGAGCAATTGGCTTCCACCTCCTGGAGAAAGCAATCCTCTTGTATTATATTTTGCATTATGTATCCATTTATTGCATCTATTAAGGTAGTTATACACAGAGAATTACATATAATTACTTAGATAAAGTATATATAATTTGATTATAAATGTTCATTACATCCATAATTATATTTCAAAATCAAATAAAAAAGTAGGCTCTGACTCTTGATTTAGAAAATATTTTGATCTTGTGTGGTGAAAGATGGAATAAAACAGGTGTAATATCTCTAAAACTGAACACTAGAATTTTTCATATTTGCATACTTGATTTGATAAATAAAGATAATATTAAGAAAAAATAAAAATAATAGATCACCAAATTCATTTTTTGCTCTTTGAAAGTAATTTCTCATGTTTAGTGTGTTTTTCTAATATTTTGTTCAGTACATACCAAAGTGCATCAAAAATACAATAGAAATATTATAATTTACCATAATTTATTGATCTTCTGAAAGCAATTGATTACTAAAATTTTTATTTTTCAAAAGTGTCATTTCACAAAATTGAACATTTGAACAATTGATCATATGTCAAATCATTGCTCCTATGCTATAGGATGGTGCCACATTGTGCCTGTATATAACTACCTTAAGTAAGCCCACTGGCTTAGAATGTGATATATGACAATGAATTGCTTGAGGCAACACATGCATGATTACACATTTTAGCTCTTTTGCAAATAATCCCACAGTCTCACAGATTTAATTGATGAGAAGATATTAATCGAAATGATGTTTTTGAGCTCAGAAAATGAGTATATCTGAGACGTACTTGGAGGTTATTATGAGTTCAAGGTGCCTAATGACAATATGTGACTGTTATAGAAATCTAATGATTCTAGATTTTTTAGATAACTGAAATTAAGAATTCCCGTTTTGTGGCTAAAGGCCTATCCGCATGTTCAGAATTTTCATATTGAATTTCCTAATTTGAATCACTTGTTATTATCAGGTATATATAACTCATTCTATACGCGGTCTACATCATTTTGCACAAACTATATAAATGTAATTTCTGACCTTAAAAAGATCAAATGCAGATAGAAATGCCTGAAAGTAAAATCATTGTGCCATCAAAATTATTGTGTGATATCAACTGTAATTTTTCCTATTATATCATTTCTTGCCAAACCATGGATATCATGTTGTTTTATTTATTTAATTTTTTTTATTTATTGATTTCTCAATTCACCCCTTATAGGGTACAAGAGTACAAAAGACAAACTTAACTAATACAGTAACAAACGTCTTCAAATCCAAATCTCCATAAATCAGTTATCAATAACAGCATTCAAATATCACAGCTTTCTTAAGTGCCTTGATCTCTGAAGTAATCCTTTACCAGAATGTCTTGGAAATCTGTTAGTGTTGATTGGCTAAAAGGTTCGTGTATTACTCTGTATAATTGACATAAAATCAATAAGCATCCTCGGTCACATATTTCTTGGAGGGGGGCATACTTCTTTAAAGGACTTCATTTATGCTTAAATTCAATTATATATCAGGGGTGTAGCCAGCTTTCAGTTAGGGGGGTGCGATCGCTGAAAGAAATTTAAAGCTCTTCTTCTTTCTCATGATTTTATTTTTATTATTGGTTATGAGGGGTGCACCCATCGCCCCCCCCCCCCCCCCCCCCCCCCCCCCCCCCCCCGTGGCTACGCTATGTATATGAATACGATATACCCTTGCGGCAAGGATGCACGGGGTGTAGCTGTAGCAGTGTAAATGAGTATAATCGGTCCTCATAATCTGAGTTTCACCCAGTTTTACTTTTGTAAACAGAGGATCGGTTATACTCATTTACACTGTAACAGTTACCCCCCCTGTTGGTGCATGTGTATTTCACTTTACATCTGAGCTGTAGTAGCAGCAAACAGGCCCAATGGTGAAGAATGATTGCTTAAGTCTGGCAACGATTCTCAACAACTTGTTAATGGAATTGTATGGCTTAACCAAACAGCATTGCAAATATTGTCAAGTGAAAGAAAGAACCATAGAAATGAGGAAAGAATTCAAATTAATTATGACAATGTGTACAATGTGTCCCGAAAATATGTCCCCCCCCCTAGACAGACATAATATGTATATTATACTGTACCAATGTCATTACAGTATGTGCCATATATCATTTTACTATGACGACATCTTTCGTACACTATGACAACACTGGTATATGTCTGCCTTGGGGGAGCCTATACTTTCGGGACACCCTGTACGGCTTACAAAACAATGTAGTAATCAATCTAGCAGCGCTTGCATTAGATTAGAAAATTTGTGAGTCCCAAGGACGCAATTTTTTTAAAAAGTGTGTCCTTTGAAAAAAAAGTGTGTTCCTTATTTTTCAGTTTTTGATTTCTTGCCGCAAATTTAAAACGGAAGTCAACGTTAAGTACGGACTGAATAAATGCATGTTCGTTCATTCGACAATGAATACATTTTATTCCATGAATAACCTAATATTTGTTTCTGAATAGGAAAAACTGTGGCGTGTCATGGTTTCAAATCTAAAAATAAACAAAGTCGAAAAAATTCGAGAGAATCATGATTATTTGTAAATATTCAACATGTTGAGCCTTATTTATGATTCAAATAAGGGTGAGAGATCATAATTATTTGTTTATGTTAGGTATCGTTGTAAACACATTGTAGTATTGACCTAAAAAAAATTTGCGTCCAAAAAACGGAAATATTTTCAATTTTTGCGTCCTCCAAACTATTTTTGAGTCCTTAACATATACGGGACGCCGTTAATGCAAGCCCTGATCTAGTAATCAAAAAAAGATTTATTTATTCAAATTGAATGATCAGCTCTAATTTCAGGTGACTGATATAAAATGGGGCAAGAACTCTCATCAACTGGTGTCATCCAGTGAGGATAAAGAAGTCAGGTAAATATACTATAGCCTAGAGAGGGCGTCATAATGACTACCCTTACTAATACTCAGATATGAGTAGGTAGTTACTAGTTTCGCCACCAGGTGGCTAATTCAGGGAAATAGCATGGGTATTACAAAGTTCCCTTATACTTGAATATTCATCAGTTTTAGTGGTTCACTTTTCATATTACCCTTATCAGAGGTGGCGTTAACGCAATTTTTTACGTTTTTTACTCACATTTTTGCAACTCTGACGCAAATATTCATTGTCTACCGAGTCTTTCTGACGCACGTTTGTTTCACATGCAAAATCCCCGCTTGGTACTTGGTTAAATTGATCCCTATACGTGAAAATACGTGATTGATCAAATTTATAATTTTGCTAATTCCGGAAATCTAACATTTCGTTCAGCGCAATCGAGCCTCCTTCCTACCGATCATTTTCTTATTTCGGTATTTCATATAATTTTTAAAGCCCTGTGATTCAGATTCAATGATAAACTTGAAAACATTGATCGATCCCTCGATTTGTTTATCTCGTGTGCTAGGGGGCGTATAAAAAATGCAATAAAACGAACATAACATTGAACAATAATTTATTAATTTCATACTCCCTTCTAAGGATTTTAGTGATCGTATATTTATCTAAATTACCGCATAAAATCTTTCCTTGAATGTTCACACGCTAGATTTACGAACCTTTAGTTTCCTTCGCAAGTTCGCAAAATTCCTTCGCTAAGTTAGCAAGTTTCCTTGAGCCGTCCCCTTCATCAGCATGCGCAGATGTAATGCGCAGTAGGTTTATCAATGGTGCTCACAGTGACCGATCTATCGTAAGTTTTCACCAAGTATTTTCAATTAACTCCCTCAAGTTAAGATCTTCGATTCACTAGATCTGAAGCTGATCCTATGAAGATAGATAATGGGCACATGAAAATCCAGTCGATCGCACATTAGGGGGGGGGGTAATGATGATAAATAAGGTATGAAAACAAATCTACTTTCGGTTTCATTTTATAATTACAAGATTCTACCGTATTCAATTTAAATGATGCCCAGTATTGTGGTCGGACTTATATTGCCGTTTTAGACTTTGGAATGATTGCAAAAATGTTGAATTTCAACATGAAACGCTTTGACCCCAATTTGTGTAACTCCACACAGGGAGAAACTCCTCTCCCACTCCATTCACACCCATGACTCGCTGGACCAGATAATCAGATGATTAATAGTGACATTTTTCTTGCAATTGCCTAATTAATTAATTGTTAGTTGTTAATGTGCTATAAGAGTACAATAAAAGGTATGCACAAAATCAAAAAATAGATTTTGTATGTGGTTTCTACATTTTTTTATGCATTTTTACTCAAGAAAAACACTTTTATAGCTTTGACTCAACTTTTTTTCTTGTGACTCACTTTTTTGAAACTACCTGAGTCATAATGACTCACAAAAATATATGCCTACCGCCACCGCTGCTTATGTATCTGATATTTATACAAATTAAGATATGTCCAATAAAAGAAAATATTATCTGCCCAACACAAGAAAAGATATTTCACTTTTTGTGATTTTACAACATGGGGCCCTATATGGGGAATCTTCCCGACCTAGAAGTCACATTTTCAAAGAAAATTAAATTTTCAAAGTTGACAAAACCACATTTCTAGAAGATGTAAATGACGTAAATCAAGATTATTTCTACTCGCATCTCATCCTCCGAACACAGGCCTCCAGAACTCATGCCGTAGGAAGGAACTTAGTGGATGATGTCTGGAACCCTGTGTTCGGAGGATGCTCGCATCTAGTCTATTTGTTTAAGTCCTTAAAAGAGATCCAGTAGAGCATACAGAGATGTTAATGATTTCTCCATCTAACCATTCAGGCCCGTCAGATGGGGGGGTGCGATGGGTGCGACCGCACCCCCCTTTGACAACCCTCATTTTTCACCCTGTATTTTTTTTCATCATCTCATACACTTTTAAAGTGCCCAGAAAGCATCAAATAACATCTTAAAATTGTAAAATTTTCTAGAGGGAGTGGGACACCCCTCACACCCCCCTCAATACAATGGAAAAGTTCTAAATTTATTTTATGTATTGTCTCAGACACTTTTAAAGTGCCCAAGTGCCCACACATCATCACATAGCTCCTTGATATAGTCAATGTTTCTGGGGGACTAACACTTGCTCCCCTTTGGGATCCCCATCCCACCTCCCCCTCTGGCATCCCCTTTGACACCCCCAAAAATTGAAAAAAATGTAATTTTTTTTCGATTGACTCATACACTTTAAAAGTGCCCTCGCCCCCCTTGACACCCATCCAAAAAATTGAAAAAATTGTGATTTTCTCAATTTTTTAATTAACTCATACACTTTGAAAGTGCCCAGAGAGCACTAAATAGCGTTTTAAAATTGTAAAATTTTCTAGGGGGAGTGGACCACCCCTCACACCCCAAAAAACAATTGAAAAGTTCTGAATTTATTTTATATATCATCTCAGACACATGTAAAGTGCCCAGACATCATCAAATAGCTCCTTGATATAGTCAATGATTATGGTAGACTAACACTTACTCGCCCTCTTGCATCCCCACCCCACCTCCCCCTCTGGCACCCCCTCCCCCTTTGACATCCCCCAAAATATTGTGATTTTTTCAAAAATTTTTATCGTGTCATACACTTCGAAAGTGCCAAGGAAGCACCAAATAGCATCTTAAAATTGTAAAATTTTCCAGGGAAGTAGGCCACCCCTCACACCCCCCCCCACAAAACAATTGACAAAAATTCTGAATTTATTTCATGCATTGTCTCAGTCACTTTTAAAGTGCCAAGACTTCATCAAATAGCACCTTGATATGGTCAATGTTTCTTGGGGCAGATATGGGGGACAAACACTTGCTCCCCCTCTGGCACCCTAATCCCACCTCCCCCTCTGGCATCCCCTTTGACACCCCCAAAAATTGAAAAAATGTAATTTTTTTTCGATTGACTCATACACTTTAAAAGTGCCCAGAAGCACCAAATATCATCTTAAAATTGTAAAATTTTCTGGAAGAGTTGGCCACCCCTCACACCCCCACAAAACAATTGAGAAAACTTTGAATTTCATGTATTGTCTCAGATATTTTTAAAGTGCCCAGACATCATCAAATGGCACCTTGATATGGTCATTGTTTCTTGGGGCAACCCCTTGCTCTCCCTCTGGCACTCTACCCCACTTCACCCTCTCAATCTCTTTGACATATCCAAAAAGAATTTGAAAAAAATTCACTTTTTATTGACTCATTCACTTTAAAAGTGCCCAGAAAGCACCAAATGGGATCTCAAAAGTGTAAAATTTTCTAAGGGGAGTGGGTCACTCCTCACAAGTTTGGAAGTTGCATTTGTTATTTTAAACACTTTAAAAGTGCCTAGAAGTCACCAAGTGACATAATGAAATCATAAAAACATAAAAATTTCTGGCAACCCACTCCAAAAACTAAAGCATTCATTTACTCAAACACATTAAAAGTGCTCAGAATTAACCAGACAGCAAATTGAATTAGTGAAATTTTCCTTGCTGCCCCCCTAAGAAGAAAATGATTGAAAAAAAATCTGAATTTCTTATCAATAGATTCTATTTCAATTAAAACACCTTGAAAGGGTCCAAAAATCACTAAATGTGATCTTGAACTGGTAAAAGTTCTCGGGCATTTATGCCCTTCTAGTAAGCTTACACCCTCCCCCTATTCCAGTGTTTCTCCAAATTTCTCATATAATATTTAGTCTAAAAACAATACGAAAACAATAAAATACTACAAAATATAGGGAGTAACCGACCCCCCCCCCCTTTGACTTACGCAATTTGATTTACGCGGCAAAAAATTGACAATTTTATTTTCTCTTTAGTTAAAACCGCACCCCCCTTGGAGAAAAGTGTCTTACGGGCCTGCCATTAGATAACATATGTATCTCCTGTTATAGGATATGGGACTCTAGGACGTTGCAAGTGAGCCATAGTTTTCCACGCAAGCAGTACATACAGACAAGCTGTGATATCAGTGATGATCTTAATTATTGCATCTCATCCAGCAATGGATTTGGCGGAAATGGATGCGAAACAACGGTATTTGTACAAATCATTTCAAATTCACTAGAAGTGGTTAGGAAGTCATAAGAATTTCCCTTGGTTTCAATTTCATATGTTAAAACTGTCATTTCCAATAAATTTTCTCAATGTTTTAATTTGTCATGTTGTCAGGAGTTTTAATGAAACCTTGGCCAAATGACATCTAAAAGTCCAAAACAGTATTTATTTATTTATAGATGTCACTTGAGTGCTTATGACACAGGGCAAAGAATATTATTTCACTGAAAGAACAGCACACTTTTTGTCCCCACTAGAAGTGGTGACATATTGTTATCTCCAACTTTTCTGTGGACAATGTTTGGTGTTTGGTGTCTTGTATTCGGCTGTTGGTGTCTGTAAACAAATGGCAGGTGGGGACATTTTGCATGTGAACACCTTGTCTAATTTTGTTTGAGCTTTTGTAAGTGAAATACTCCATCTTTGCTCTACAGATTAGGTGGATGAATAAAGAAGCTGGGAGTTAGTTCACCCTTTCTTTCTAATTCATAGATGGCAGGGTTTACTAGGTTGAAGTTTGATTTTTGCGAACTGTAAAAATATGCCTATATATTTTTAGCTATGGGACATGCGTACATTGTCTATAGTTCACGAGTACCAAGGTCACGGAGAGACAGTTGGATCCTGTATATTTATGCCCAGCATAGCCAATAGGAACCTTGTGGCAACTACGTCAAATGACTGCAGTATTAGAGTCTGGGATAGAGACTCTGCAAGTAAGTTTATAAAAGGATCAGATGCATAGTCACATAATTAAAGTGTTATTTTTATGCACAGTTATTTCACATGGGGAGGGTGAAAAGGCCCATTTCCGTAACAAAGGAGGAGGGAAATTAGCGCAACAGATTTTGGACTGTCATATGCTGGATTTTGGCCATTTTCTGAGGAAACAATTGCATATGTTAGGCCAATGCATTACCTCCAGGAAAATCACTTCTAGAGATGGTAAAATAATTTCGACTTTGAGACAGGGTAGATGCAAACAACCCACCCACATGTTTTTACTGAAATGTTTTCCTGATTTTCGACCCCTTCCACCGACTTTAAAGGAATAAATGATTCCTTCAGGGGTTCTAAAGATAGCCATTATGGGTGACCAAACTTAGCTGAAAGCAATGATTTTCTCTATGGGAAAATAACATGGGAAATATTGTTTTCGACTTTATCTAAAAGGAATCACTTATTCCTTTTAAGGGATTAAATGTGTGTCAAAGCGCAACATATTGATGCAAGAAAAATAAAAAAGCAGGGATGGAAGGGTTTGAAAATCAGGAAAACATTACAGAAAAAACATGTGGGTGGGTACACAAGTGGGTTGTTTGCATCTACCCTGTCTCAAACTCAAAATTATTTTATCATCTCTCGAAGTGATTTTCCTGGAGGTAATGCATTGGCTTAACATGTACCTGTTTAAATCGCCGGGAAATGGCCAAAATCCAACATATGACTATCCAAAAACTGTTGCGCTAATTTCCCTCCTCCTCTTGATGTTTAAATGAGTGACAGTGGCACACTAAATGGGATTCTTTTGAATAGGGGCACTTTTGGCTAACTTCTCATCTGGTAAATATGAGAGATGATTATTTTACCGCCACTTTTGGTCTGTTGGATTAGGATTTATAGCCTAATGGGAAAGCTTTCCATAATGTATTCATGGGCGTAGCGCCTATTACGCAAAATACGCACAGGCGTACCAAATGAATTTGAAAAAAAATTAAAAATGTATTAAAATGCATTAATTTATTTGCGAATTTATTGATCCTTCCTACTGTATCTGTATTTTTACCATTGTCAACATTTAGAGTTGATGAAAACGCTTAGATTCCATCAAAAAATGTCCTTGAAAAAAAATTTCCCGGGGGTTTGCCGCGATGCGCGGCCTTCGGCCATGCAATCAGGCATCACTGAGTATGCGTACCAACTCAAAATACAGCCCTACGCCCATGGTATACAGTCAACAAATAAGCCAGATAAAGAATATGATTTATGTTGGTTCAAAAGATGGCAGCACACTAATGTAACAAAATTAAGGAAGTCTTTCAGGGGAGGGGGATTTCCCAAAGATGAATGTTGGTATTGGCACGTTGGATAACCAATTTTATAAACAAGTCTCATTTGCAATTGGAATTGACCTCGGAATCTTCGCTGTTGTTTTATGATTATTCTCTACAAGTTTAGATCAAGTAACTTCAATAGTGTTACCGTAGTTTAGAAATGATGATGATGAACTGATGTTGAACAGAAATAAATGCCATCTCCACAAGTTTAAATTTTGCTTTGCGCATACGAGGCCCTAAGAGAGCACACGCTCATGATTGTTCACGTGATCATATTCTGCAATTTTATTGGACATAATATACTGATGAGGGCGTGATTTAAATAAATTATGTTCATGAATACGAAAAAATATGACTGTATTATAGACTGTAGACCATTCTGTAGATTATGGGAGCTACTCATTCCTTCAGGAAACCTTTGTAGGCCACAAAGTGGTTTACTGTAGCTTGATCTCAAACAAAACTATGTTATTGGTGAATTAAATAAACAAGAATGTAATATACCTGATCAAGATTTTTTAAAAATGTAAATAGAAAGCAATTTATTTTCTCTGGATAGATTTTTCCAATTTATTTAGAATGTCACCACTTTTTTTCATTTCACAATATTTTTTACTTTTCATTCACCTTTTCATCACTCCAGTTCTGTACAGAGAAAAACAAATTGTTATATATTTAAAAACAGCTGAAAGATGAACATTCACAAACTAAATGTTTCCATGGACTTTTTTCAGAGTGCCTGTGTTACTGTGTTATCCCAGGGTCGGGTCCTCTTACTTCTGTATCATCTTACCCAGATGGCAGGTAAGTACCTTACAGCAGCCTTGCACCAATGCATCACTTGGGATAAACAGATCTGCACATGGTATCCACTGTCCAGTAGTCGGCAGTTGATGTACAGTGGTTGGTGTTTGGTGTCTGTATCAAATGGCAGGTGGTGACATCTTGCATGTTAATGCCTTGTGTAAAAAAGCTGAATCTGCAAACTCATTAACTGAGCCCTGCAATCATGCTTCTTCACAAATCAGTCATGCTTCTTCACAAATCAGTCATGCTTCTTCACAAATCAGGCATGCTTCTTCACAAATAAGCCATGCTTCTTCACAAATCAGTCATGCTTCTTCACAAATCAGTCATGCTTCTTCACAAATCAGTCATGCTTCTGCACTAAGTGAATACTATTATGATGTCGGTTAGTTATTAATTTCATGTTTATGTGTTTTCAGGTTAGCAGTAGGCAGCTTCAACTTAGGTGTTCATATATTTGACTTCCATTGTGGAGCAGGGGGAACATTTAGCTTAGAGAGAAAGGCCCAGTATTGAGTATTGGACACTTAGTTTGGAAATAAAGGCCTTTATTAAATACTAGGGATTTGGCTCAGAAAGGAAGGCCTAGTGTTGACTAGTCTACTTGATATTTAGCCCAGAAAGTTCTAGCACCAAGTATTGAGTAAAGGACTTTTGGTTGGAGAAAAACATCACTGGGTAATTAGCCCACAAAGAAATGCCTAGCACCTAGTTTTGAGTATTAGACATTTAATTGGAGAGTAAGACTTGGTATTGGGTACCTGGATACTTGGCTGAGAAAGATTTAGCACCAAATATGGAATACTAGACATTTAGCTTGGAAAAAACACTGGATGATAAATTAATATGATTAATGATGATTAATACTGCACATTTAGTTTGGAATATGACCCAGTATTGAGTACTGGCCCGATAATTAGCCTAGAAAGGATCATGTGGTGATGAGTACTGAACATTAAGCTCAATAGAGCTTTGAAAAGGTGTTGTGTGTAATGCCTTGGTCACATTTGCTCCGATTTTCACCACGGCGCCCGGCCGATTGAGTATTTTGTTCAAAATTGAATACAATATTGAACAAAACACTCAATCGGCCGGGCGCCGGCCGATGGATCGGAGCATATGTGACCATGGCATAAGTGGTGTCATTTACTCTGAAAGAATTTCTTTTTTATGGAGTACTTGATTTTTAAGAAAGTCTAGTATTGAGTACTGGATATTACTACAGTGAAGAAGGCCTTGTTTCAAGATTTCTACATGTATGTATAATAGAGCTGAGGAGGTGATTTGATAGAGAGGGGTACACACCCTTTGCAGGTGATGCTGCAGAAAATGCTTGGTGCGGATATCATGCACATGTTGGGAAGAGTTTACTGTCATTTTTGAATTCTTGATATATTATAAACTAAGCCGTGTTGAGAATATGTATTTGGTTATATATTCATACATGTAAGGATGATACCTAATAATGAGAAAATAGTTGTGTACTAAATTCTATAGTGACACAGTAAGCAACAAACCTTTCTCCAATGCATGTTTTGTGAAATTGCCACTTTTATACATCTTTTACAGCCTTTATTCAGTATTGGTGATCAAGATACCCTATTGATGCAAATGTCATTGCATTTTGAATATCATGTAGTATCCGTTTATTTTATAAAAATCTGAAACTTAATTGGATATGCGCTACCCAAAAACTCTTGGTGCTAGTAAAGTGGGAACTTTATTGTCTGATGAAATTGTGATATATTTTTGGTATCATGAATGGACTTGGATTACAGCAATGGCTGACACAACTATTTATTATTTGGGCCAAAAAGTTGATGTTTAATCATGTCTATTGCATTGCTTTAGAATGTAAGTAAACAACAAATAAAATAATATCCTTTTTTATTAGGCGTCATCTGAACATATACAAATATAAATGAATATACAACTCGGCTTGGATTATGTAAAATGTAACAAATTTAAATTTTAAAATGAACATTAATTCTGCACCGTACATGCATTTATCCACACCAAGCATTTTCTGCGAGCACCGTTCGCATAGAGTGGTACATATCTTAAATTATAGAGATGCTATTGTATTGCAATTATTTACTTTAACTTATGTACATGTACTTGAAGTTCTTAATTCTAAACATGCATGTTAGACAGGAGGATGTCGGGGACACTTGAAAAACTGCCAAATTAAATAGACGCCAATAAGCCCAAAAATACAAAATCACCAAATTAAGTAGCGCCAAATTAAAGACAAATACAGTATACAATGGAGTATGCATGATTTGTTAACATGATTGATAATGGCTTCAAAATGAAAATGTTTACTGGTTTGTCCATTATTATCCTATAGTTTGGGGGGATATAGAGAATGCATCCTTCCATTCTTACATTTGTTTGAGCAATAACTCAAATTCTGTTGGCCTGGTATAATTTTTTTGTACATTTCTATGTTGCTATGTTGTCTCTATAATTGTATCATTTTACATTTTTGCTGTAACTCCAAAAGTAATTGAGCTTTAATGACTAGTTGCAACGGTGTTGTCACAAATCTGAAATATTTTGTTCATATTTAATATGTAAGTAAATGCAATTATTACATTTTATTTTGGCAATGCATTTAGTCTGTTGGTCATTTGAGAAATGATGGCCTTCAGTGTTGTCTGACCCAATAAAGATGTTCGATGACATTGATTCATTAAATTAAAACATTCATATGTTTTAATATTGCATTAGTACCATTTCATGTTTAGTGCTTAGTAAATTTGGATACTTATTAACAAGCCTAATTTTTATGAATGTGCATCTTTGAAAAATCTTTCTAGATTTGTGAAAATCTGGCGCTGGTTTTCAAAATTGGGCTGGGCATTTTCATATCTTCAAAAATGGTAGCCCTTTGTCGATTTCCAGAATTGTGTGTCACTTTGTGTCAATTTCCAGAATCATATGTCAGTGTGTGTCAATTTTCAGAATTGTGTGTCGGTGTGTGTCTTTCTGTTTGTATTTTTAACAATAGTATGCTCTATCAACTATCTATTTGGAAAAGTGATTTCATAACATTAAGAAATATATTGATCTTAGTTAGATATTATTTACATTAATTATGTATATACAGGGTGCCACAAAAAATGCTACCAACTTAATTTGGAATAACTTTCTCAATAATTGAGGCATTTTTGTGATTCTTCTTGTGGAGATAGAGTGTTCAATGGAGAAAAGATTGTTGTACTTGGATAGCATCAACAACTTTGGGATTCCATCCAGGAATGTTCTCGGTGAAATCTTTAAAAGATGTTCGAGAATAAGAGTTTTCTGAAATCTGGGATTTCTATCTTACCCATTATTTGAGTCATTTCTGGATTGCTTTCATTAGCTTACACATTGTATTGTATTTTGTTTACCACCAATTAGGTGAACAATAGCCATTGGGTATATCCCGTATATGGTCATAATATATACGTTATTAACCATGAAGATAGATCCAGAAACCCCTCCTCGAAGGAGCCCTGTGTTCTTTTATGTGCACTTACACATAGACAACCAGGTGCACACCATAGCCTTTTGTACGAGTTGTGGACGACTCACTCAGTACTTTACGCAAACAAGCAAATTTAGTCTTGCCTGAACCAGGGATCGAATTGGGGACCTATTGCGTAAGAGGTACACACGTTACCGCTAAGCTCTATGGGTGGACATTATAAATTATTTCTAAGTCATTGATGCTATGCAAGCATACCAATCTTTTTTCCATTGAACACTATCTTCACATAAAAAAATCACAAAGATTCCCCTTAATTATTGAGAAAGTTTTTCCAAAATTAGTGGGTGGCATTTCTTGTGTCACCCTGTACTTCTCAGGATTTATAAAATTGATTAGAATGAGGGGAATTTATTTTTATATTTATTTATGAAAAAAGAGAGTCTGTCTTCTCCATTTTATTTTAGATGTCTGTGTATACAAGTAATATTAGCCTTGCCCAAGTCTTTTACTTATCTTGATTTCATTTTTGACGGTAATAATTCAAAATCACATAAAAATGCTGACTTGGGCAAGGCTATAGTAATATTTGAAACAAGTAATAAATAAAGAAAGAATAGAGGTGCCTGAAAGAAGCCAACATTGTAATATTTGAAACAAGAAGTTTAACTGCTTCATGTCAATAAATAATAAATTAAGGAATCTGAAAAGAAGCCAATATGAATTTGTACTGTTGTCATGATTCATTATTTTATAGTTAAATCCAGGAAAGGAATCCTAGAAAATGAATGAAAATTGTACATTATTAAACTACTGATAAAAACTAGTACATGACATGTTAAAGGAAGGCGATTAAAGAGATAGGCTGAATGGTCAGGGTCGAATCATGCTCTAGATGGATGTGCCTTCACAGGAATGACTGAGTGCATGGACATCCCCAGAAGGCTAGTTAATAGTCATCTCAGTTTGCAAGTGGAAGATGATCAGTTCCACTTGGGCACCCTCCATTTAAATCAGATATAGTTCCCAAAGCTTGACCTTGTTCAACTAGTTCTACTTGCAGAGAGTAGCAGAGCATGATCATTATGTTTATCTGAATGATTGCAGTATTTCATCAACCTTCTGCTCCCTCCCCCTTTAAGCTATTCAGGATCTAAAGATAAAAAAATTTATGTCACCACCAAAAGTTGTGACACATTGTTATTGCCTCCAACTTTTTTTGGTGGTTCGTGTCTGCAACAAATGGCGTTCAGCTGTCAGATCTGTATAACAAATGGGTGGTGGTGACATTTACATGTTAATGCCTTGTTTTATTAATACAATACCACTGTTCAGTATCAATATGTTAGTTCTGTTAAACAGAACTGTATTGGGTGAGACCAATTTCCTGAAAGATTCCTATCCATTTCTTAATGCCCATGGTGCTTGGGGTTCATTGCATATAAACCTTGACAGGGATCCTCAGCATACATGGTGTACCTTTTTTGACATTTGGTATGGCAATGGACCCAAATTTTAGGATCTGGTATGAAAATGCCCCCCCCCCCCAAATTATGACTTTTAAGGTATGGGACTGGCAATGGTGGGATTATCCCACTTTCTGCTATGAGAATGGGCATGGAAAATATGTTACCTCGTCACACAAATTGGTATGGGAAGATAATTCAACATATTGATATCTGAGGGTTCAGCCAAGGACCCCCACCGAATATTGTATACAGTGACCCCACCCACCGCCCCTGGCCATAGGTAAAGTAAAGACGAATCTCCCATCTATTGACTATTGGATGGTTTGTTGATGTTCATCAGACATGTGTTCATGAATCAGGGACTCATCATTCTGTAATTTGCATACTAAAGATGAGAGGAAACTAAGATCTGGGAGGGAATAATTAGCAAAATCCATTTTCAACATTGGCTTGGATTAACAGGTTATAAAATAAACAAATAACTTCAAAAGAAAACAAAAGAAACCATGAGCATTAACCTGTTAACAGATAACTAGTTCAATATATTCATCCAATCCAAGTCTAATAAAAGAAGGCGGAGCTTTACAGTGCTGCAATCCGATTGGACAGGTGTTTTGACCTAAGGTCACACGTGCTCTATCCCGCCATTGATTAGAATTTTCTGCATTTGAAGACTAAGCACTAAAGAAAGCGATTGAAGTGAATTTGGACGTAATTTAGCCGAGTCCTGACAATCAAAACAAACCGCAAGAAGAGTACAAATATCTATGCCATGTCTGGCTTTAAAGTGGGAATCGTGCGACTCGGAAGAGCGGCAGGAAAGGTGAGTTATTTTTCACTTTATTTTGGAAAAAAATCCATGTCCAAACATGGCCGTTCAAACGCAAACAAAGAATTCTCCCATATTTAATGTTGAATTTCAGACCTCTATCTTTCCAAAATCACGTCATTTTTAGTATCGTTGTTTTCATAAGAATGTACATGATATAGAAGTATTTTCATGTTTCGTCGATCGTTCGCAGAGATGTCAGGATATTGTTAATAAAACTGTGATGCTTTGTTAATTGTGATTGTGAATATTGTGTTGACCTGAAGGACAGTCAACTGAAAGTGAAAGTATAAATTGAAGATCTGATATCATATTTTTCCTATAATTTGCATTGAACACAAGCAGTATTTTATGTCTAAATGTGGAAATAACAAAATTTATTCTCTGTATGGGAGTCGAAATTCACATGTTTACTTATGATTTTGATTAGATCTATTTACCAATATTACAGTTATCAGAGGATCAGAAGAAAGTCATGTGAAAGAAATAGAAAAAAGATTGTGTCTTTTATTTCTGAACATCGAATGATGGGAGTTAGATAAAGATTATACATTGTATATACATAGTATGGGATGTTATATATTGGGATGTATACAGTTAGTTGGGATTACCCCCATAAATGTTGGGTTATTTTGATTTTTTTTTTTATATTTAGGACATTGTAATTTTGAGAAACAAATGTCCTAAAATATAAAAAAAACTCAAAATAACCCCACATTTATGGGGGTAGTTGGGATGGAATATATTTAGAAAACATTATTTATGTCAGATTCTATTGATTGTGCAAGTTTCAGATCATATGCATTCAAAATATATTGGGCAAAGATTTCATACAAAGACTGTTTGATAAAATTGAATTCCATTCACTCCACATTTGATAATATACATGCAATGGTAGCCTCACACATGCTGCCCACGTTCAGGGCAAAACTACAAGGCATGTCTGATGTTTTATCACAATAGTGCATCATCACCAGCATAATTGCTTTTGTTTCATAGTTCAGATCAATCATTTGTGTAAATTGGTATATTCTATCAAGCAGTTTCATTTTTAGGTGACATGTGTTTGAAAAACTCTTAACCACCTTTCAGCAGAAATTGATGAACTGTAAATAAAGCAGATGTTAGCTGGTGATAGACTAGTGCTAATTGGTGTTGACAGTGATCATATATGTGAAACAGCTGTCTTCATGGATCTGCTTGATCAGTAGAGGAGATCATGCACATGTTCAATTCCTCTATTAACCAGCATTTAATAACTCTCACTAATACAATTACCACCTTGTATATTTCAATTTACAAACTGTTATAATTGCAATTTATGAACTGTCTGAAGTAGACTCCCAAAACTCTTGATTCTGATTTTAGTGTTTGATTTACCTCCTGCAAGGAATCCTGCCTGACTTGTAATCAACTGTCTTGAAGACTTAGATACAAATAACATGTTTGTTAATAGATTCACACATTTTACATGTGCAGCTGACATAATATCAAATGAATTTCAAGGCAGTGTTGGAGTTGATCAATATTACATGAAGCTTTTCTCTAGATCAATGGCGTGTCTTCACATCCTACAGTTCCACTCCATTCTTGCATTATTGTAATATAGTAGGATTGATCGATGAATGTGCAATTACCGATCAATACGCAAGAGTTCTTGTCCCGTGTCAAGATCATGAAGGATTTACTGATCAGAATATCATAGATTTCTGAAACTGAAATATATGATACGAAAACAATGCTTTCACACAACATACATATTCAAAATAATATGTCTTATACAGAATCAATATAATTTATAATGATGTAGCGTTCTTTGTTGGCTAAAAAACATATGATCTTCAATTTAATAAGATAAAAGACACCTGAGCCACATACATGAATCAATTGATCTTAGATATCCCACAGAGAAATCATTTCCCTTCTCCAATGCTAGAACACAGTCCTTTATCAAAGGTCTTTGTCTGGAAAATTGGTTACATAATGCCTTGTTCCATATTGATAGATAAATCATGTTCAGCAAATATAATAGAGAGATGGTGACAATCAACACAATTATTATCTTACTTTAACATCTTCGTAAATATATAAGTTGGTGGGTATATCACTGGTGTAGAATATCCACATTAAAAACATCATTCCCCCTACATGTGAAAGATGTACTGGTATTTCAATAAACAGAATGAAAAATTGTTTAAGCTCAGATTTCTATTTTTGGGGTTTCTCATTAACTGTTGAACTTTTTGGGGCATTCACATTTTCCAAATAAAATCATATTAGATTTGTATCATTTAGAATTGTAAATCTTTAATTGCTTCAGTTTAGAATTACACATTGTAAATAAACAATAACCTCATTAGTTATTATTTACATGGTCAACAATAATTGCACAATCCAGAACGAAGATTGAGTTTGTAGAAACTTTGAAGCAAAATCTCACAAATCGAAACTAGTCTCTGTATCTACAATGTCGCTTTGTTAGAATATTCCATTAATGGACATCAAATATAAGAGATTTGAGAAATCAATTGCTTGTCAAGGTGTATAATCAACGCAATAGATTATAGGATTTTTCTGACATTGACTTTAGATCCTATGAAAGCAAAATCCAGTGCCAAGCAAATTATGTACATTTATACAGTGGTATACCTATAGGATTGGTCACCTTTGGTTAAATATATACAATAGAGATTATTGTATGTGTAGGTCTCAATGGCTTATCCCTCTTGCACACACTATATGATTAAGCAAGGATATGGTTCCATTGTATACCTGACTCTCATAGTCCTGTTCATGGTCTATTCTTATTTTTCTCTTTAATCTGTAATGTTACTGAGCCCATGTGTCTCGTATCATCTCAATCTAAAGAGAAGTAGGGGGAGGGGGGGGTTGTTCAAGAATTTTATTTAAACATTCCTCGCACATCCAAAGTCTAATAAAAGGCCATGAAAGCTATATGTGAGATCATTACGATGTAATCAGTATCAAACTAAAATTATCTGGAATAGTCATTCCGAATGGCAAATGGTAAAGGATCATCATAGGTCCAGGCTGAACATCAGTGCCTGCACTCCCAATCAATATACAACAGTACAATGCCATTATATTAATCTAGGAAAACCTGGTCCCTTTGAGAATTACCAGTTCAATACGAGCTAAATACAATGATGTATATGGCATCTCCAATTGATGCAGAATTTTCCTTGTTTTTGTCACATTATATTGTTGTTGTTAGTTAGTTGTTTTTGTAATTTGAAAATTCAAGGATACAAGTACTGTCTATATGTGTTTGACTTTCACCATTAGTTAGGCGGACAAGAATCCTCTGTAAATTTTTTATACATATAGGAACTTATAATACTCCTCCCAAGATTATTTTGTGTAGAGGATATTATAATTTTTTAGGCCAGCATTTTAGAATTTTTCAGCTTTTTCTTGCTTGTATGTACAGTATGTAGACAGGTCTAAAATATTGTCCTACGAGACCTACCTTAATAGCAATTGATTCACTCATCTCAGTATCTCCCTGCAGGCTGGGCCTGAAGCAGAGTGATAAAACACACTAATGTGCTGGTGATTTCCAGCTAATAATAGTGTTGATGTATTGCTTATAGATCTAGTGGCTCCAAACCTAGTGACACTTAGGTCTTCTCATAGAGATATTTCATCCTAAGAGGCAATATATTCACCATAAGACAAAGAAACTGGTGATTACTCTGGGTGGACATAGAGCAAGGCAAATTATATTACAGAGGCTTCATGCAAATTGCGACTTTGTAGGGTTTCTCTTAAGATCCGAATAAAATTAAGGTTATAAGAATCATGTTATATGGTTTATATGGCTCATATTTTTTCTCAGTTGAGCTATTATCACTGTTCCCAAACTAGTAACTTTGACGGAACGTCAATGTTACAAAATGGATGAACTTCCTAGATACAAGTTTTTTTGTTTTCTACTTATAACTCAAGCTGCGGATAATCAATTGGCTCAAAGTTAGACAATATAGTCTAGCTTTTAACCTTTAGCGTGCTGCCGGCGGACTCGTCCGCCGAGACTAAAATGTCTCTCACAACTGCCGGCGGACCCGTACGCCCGATTTCAAACTTTTAAAAACTTTACTTTTTCGCGCCATTCGTATTGTCCAATTAGATTGCCCGATTTATTCAGTGCCTAACATGACTTCCTGTTGACCTAGAATGGCGATATTTCGAAAAATAATTCTCAATTCAACAATTTAAACAGTGTTTTAGTCGTTTTTAGTGAACGAATCGTACAAAATGGTGGACAAATACGATCACAACGAAAATGTGGAGGAAATGAATTACGATTTCGAGCTCTTTAGGCTCTTGGAAGCCGATAACGGTCATCGAAAATAGAAACTAGAATATTTTCTGAATTGAAAAATTGAACATTCGATCGCTGCAAATTCAGATTTGGATTCTGACCAGACGAAGAGGCGGAGCGGCGGATTCCGGAGGAGTATTCATGGTATATTTATGCCCAGTCGTGTTAATGTACGAAAAAATTCATGAGAACATTTTTTTCATGAGCCAGGCCACTGTATCTTCCCTTTGTGAAAATTTTATCCAGATTCATTCAGTAGTTATTGAGATATTAATTATTATATCATTTTTTGCACTCTTTGAAAAATAAGCCAGTTGCGTGGGATATATTTGCTGAAATAAGGCAGCATGGTAAAGGTTAAAGAAATGCTCTCGGTTTGGAATTTGATTTTTAAATAAAGGTGTACATGTAATCCATGCATTTGGACTACCCTTTGCATTCGTTTGACTACACTTCTTAAAAGAGAGCTTTGTCTTCACTCTTTCAAACTAAAATAAACCTGTGAACTCACCGCGCCAATCAGTGTTCGTCGGCCAAATTTGACCGATGTTCTTTATATGGTCATTCCTTCTGACGTCATCGTTGAGCACGGAATTGACCAATGGCATGCGCATATTTCATTAGAACGCATTTGCTGTATGTTTCTTCAAGCTCGCTGATTGGTTGAAGGTCAGTGCGTAGGTCAAAAGTGATTTAACCATACTGTCACCGGTACCCGTCATGGGGCGGGGGTACTAAACTGTAATATGGTCTCTACTAGGCAGAGTGTAGTTTAACTAGACTCTGCACGTAGGGTACATTTGGACCATCGCTTTTGTTACATTGATTTAAGTCCTCAAAGTAACATACATTGATAATATAATGGACTTTCATCAACTAGGAAGTTCATCCATTTTGTTACATTGACATTCCATCAAAGTAACTAGTTGTGGAACAGTGATTATATGAGATAGGTAGAAACGCTGATTGAAATGTCTTTTGTAATAATGTATTTTAGTTCATTGACTTCAGTTACATTCTTGTGTCATTGTCAACTTTTTTCTAAATATATAAACACAAATTGTGATAATGGATTGCGCAGACTGTAAGAGCACTTGAGGTTTAATGCACGGTTACTTCAATTGTCACAATTGAAACCTTGGCTAGTGCTGAAAAGTGTGCTACATCTTGCTTTAAAATAATAAATAAATAAATAGACTAGTCTTGTATCAAGCCCCTGCGTTGTCCTTCTCTCTTTAGTGGTCATGTGTATATATAGTAGTAGTAGGGAGAATGGGAGTTTTGGTAAAGGTCTTGTACATGGAATGATTATGTAACCAAGGATTGCAGGCTGAGCTTCATTTGGACATGGATGGTAACATGTAGCATGTGTTCTATGTAGCACTAATCATAGCTCTGAGATAATTCAATGACGAGAAGCACTTTAACTTGTATGTTATTATGTTATATGTGTGATTAGACACATCCCAGACCGTGTTATCTACTTGTATGTAGGTTGTGTTCTAATCATGACAGGTCAATGGGAATTATTCAATAAACAACAAACCAACCCCCTACTCCCCGTATAAAAAATCTTCATCTACACTCTGGAATTCTTATCCAATCTTCTGAGTTTCAATCCCATCTACCCCTCCCACGTGCTTCATATGTAGTTAAGCTTTGAATATAGTATTCGGTGACAGTAAATTTTCTTCAAGTGGGAGCAGTGTTACAGGCAACTCGTCTTGCAGAACCAAAATCAATAGCAGACTGCAGTGTGATTAATGTAATTCTACAACAGTACTATGTTGTATTGAGTGAGTTATTGAATGGAAGCCTTATAAATTACTAGTTTTCTTAGGGTAATATGTCACATATCGTAATTATGAATAGATAAGCAGGTTCAGATAGGGGAGCGGGTATATAGGGGGAAGGTATCCAAAGGTAGTGATTTTACAATAAGAAGATAGACAGGAGAAGTTAAAAGTCCTTCCACATGGAGCTTATACAATTTATTGTCAGTAGGAGTATTTTCATTTAACTGGGGGGGGGGGGTTAGTGTCAGTTGGGTGTATTCATAATGGTACTGGCTGGGTGAATTCTAGATTCCCGAGAGATGACAATCAATTGATATTTATTCATGATCAATGAGCAGCAAAAACCTGTTTATACATCATAACTATGTGGGACACATTGATTCTGTTCTGAAGTAACATTATCTTCAGTTGTATATCGAATCATACATTTGAGGCCATGTGAGTCCTTCTTGTAGATTAGATGTATATTGATTTAACCTGAAATCTCCAGACATACAATTAACCTGGAAAAACCTAACTGCATGTGCTTGACTTTGCACAGCTGCCTCACCTCATATCAATGACGTACATATTTGATATTAGATGCGATTAGATATTGCATTTTGCTCAGATTTTGTTATCTGACCTGATTCTCATCTTCATTCACAAGGTTTCAGCTTCTTTCAACTGTTGGAAGTCGAAGATGCAGATTCTTTTTTGTTTTGAGACTATACTTTAGACTTGGGATTAGTTTTTATTATTTATTTAAAGTAGCGGTCACACTAGCCGTGTAGGCTCACCGTTCGCCACCGTTTGGCTAATTATGGCCAGACGGCGACGGCCGCATTGTTTTTATCCTTTTTTGACAGGGACTATACCGTTCTATTCCGGGTCTGTACCGGCTTCTCATCGGCCTTGTACCGGACTTACCGTGTTTCAGAATTCTTGCTTACCGTTCTCACCGTGTTCTCAACTGGCGCATACCATCCTCTCACCAGGTTTTCACCGGCCGGAACGCCTGGATATCGGCCGAACCGCCTTGATGGCGTCATGCAAACGCTCACAATATTTAACTCACTTTTTGGTATGTATGCTCAACCATCCACGTGTTCAAAGCTAAATGATTTATATAATTAATTTGCTTATACATCTTAATTATGTTCAATAACATTACAAGTTTGTCTATATTTAACTGTACAGTGTGGCCACATAGCTTGTCCATCCTGTAAGCAGCTACATGTAGTTGGGTCAACCGAGTTAAGTCTTTCTCTGTAATAGTTAGTACGTTTATTCCATGAAAATACGTTGAAAATGAATAGGTCTCGAGAACTTGACCAATTTTGGTAGACAAACATGCAATATCTATACTTCATCCGACCATATCACGTTTAACGTTTTTACTATATACGTTTTGAAACTAATTGCTCTGAGGGGTAACTATTTGTTTTGACATTACATTTTACGCAAAGCGTTATTGGAAGGTACAGATTGAACCTTTACTCCCCTCCAACGTTTAGAAATATTTTTCCTCATTAAAATGGAGGGATTCGAAGTGAACTGTACTCGAATTGGAATTGAAGTCAGTTTATTAAATCACTAATAAAAATATGCCAAATCTTATTTGATTTCGAAAAAAGACGGTGGTGTTTTATATTATTTTTATAACGTTTTGTAAAACGGCAACTACATATATTTTGTGATAATTGCGTCAACGTATATATTACAGGTCTTAGACCTGCGTCGTTTGAGTTATATACCAAAAAATATTGACTTTTTGCACGCTGGTGACGTCGCGCCTTTTTAAATTAATCAAACAACTCAGAAGGGTATCACTCGAAAATTCACGGAAGACTTCACATCTTTGTTACACCGTAGCTTAATCATTAAGGGATTAATGGGTGAACGTTAAGTTGTCATGAACATGAATATTGCAGTTTTATTGAATTTTCTGACAGAAATCGGCTCTTCCTCCACCCTATTAATTTTTTCTTATATAATTGGTCGTGTAAATGAGAAATAAAGCTTTCACAACTTTTTGATGGACGGTAACGTGAACAGAAAGATCACGTAAAATGCATAAAACAGTTGATAGTTCGAAGTTTGGCTTATAATGCTAACTGGACATTTATTTTCACTTTTATTTGAGCTTTAAATATTTTTGCAATTTTTTTATTTTCTTCGTGTATGATAAAAGAAATATATTTGTAACTTGTTGTTCTCAGTGTCTTCAAAAGAATCTCTGTCAAAGTGGTTTGAGTGGATTTGTGGCTTCAAAGTACAAATGAGAAAGTCGAAGAATTGATGTCTCGAGTTACGGGACAAAACCTTGGACAATACCTGAATATTTAAATAAACTGGAGGCAAAATTGTTGAAACGGCAGAACACGGTGACAACACTGCGTCACGAGGCGGTACAATTGCGAGTTCACGGTAATAGGATGTTTAGAGGATGTTATGGAGCAGTTATAAGGCCGTTAAGACGTTAATGGACTGTTACCTAAGCGTTAAGCGGCTGGTACCGTGAAAACACTTTTTATGTGACCTTTCAAACCCCCGTTTGAACCTCGTTTATCGGACGGTACCCAAGCGGTACACTCTCGTTCGCAGCCCGTCACTGATAGAGTCAACGTCCACCATCGTCCCATTACCGCTCTGCGAACGTGTCCTTAACGGCCGCACCGTCCTTATACCATTCCCGTACCGCTATCACCGTTCGCAACCGAACGTTACTCAAACGGGAAAGGTTTTGAGCATGCTCAAAAGATTCGCCGGGTGTGGATGGACGGCAACGTTCCCTGAACGTTTCTCAACGGGCGGGAAACGACCCACCGTGTGGACATACCGTGCACCGCCGTCTGGCCATAATTAGCCACACGGTGGCGAACGGTGAGCCTACACGGCTAGTGTGACCGCTACTTAAAGTATTCTTTATTTATTTTGTTTTTAGCAGTGGAATATCCTTGCTGTATGTAAATTGTTACTTAATCGGACTTTTCCGTTATTAGTAACCATAGTCAGAGTTATATTACTTGTGAATGGTAGAAATAATTATTCAGAAATTATCAGTTCACCAGCAGGAACCCTGAATAATCACCTTCAAAACAATGTCCCTGATGTAATAATCTATTAGCAGGTTGATTTGCACCTGTATGTCCTATTATAGCTTTAAATATAGCAGGTATATATGTATATTGACCAATCAGAGCGAGGCATCCAAAATTCATGGTTTTATTTCGTATGGGCAGTTTCTTGGACAGGCGTCGGGCAAAATTGAAACAGTTGAATCACATTCCTCTCTCTCTTTCATCAGGTGTGAAAATAATTTACGCACTGAACATATCCATGTGGAATAACATACTAATTTAAATAACTGCTAGACTAAACACTCGCCCTTCTGAATCGATCAACAGCCCAACAAATATTATTAAATTCAATGTATTATCTTTCAACTAATATACAAGTTATTGTGGTTAATCCTGTAATAAAAGTATCAACTGTCACTTTTAATAATTTCACAATAAATTCACGTTTTGCAGCATGTGTAACTAAAGCAACTGGTATTATATATAATACTATGAATAAGTTTTTATAAAAATAGTTCAAAAAGCATTCTATATCTTGGGAATGAATTATCTTTGGTGAAAATCTGATGGCCCTTTTGAATTTATGAATTTATTTGGAGAGATTTATCTTGTTATTATACTTCAGGGTATCTTGACTTGTACTCAAAATTAGAAGAAAAAATTGTAGAATCTAAAAGTAATCAATTTTTGCTTTTTATTTGCAGACCAAATATGCTTTGTTAGATGAACACGACATAGCCTTAGTGCAGCAATATGCCTTTGAGGTAAGTGGGAAATTACACATGTATTCAGAGTTACCTTAAAATGACAAGATCGAACTAAGAGCCAATCAAGCAAAAAGTAATCCCAATTTACACTGATATCTATAGTGAATCTTATCTTGGTATGCTGCCTATTTTAGTCGCTAATTTTCTCCAGCCTTCGGATTTATCCAATACCTACTCTATCTCTTTAGTAAATCAGGGGACTATTCAATGTCTCTGGATTTTTAGGGGAGGGGGCATATCCTTATCGCAAAACCTGCTACTATGATGAATTGTAATGTCACATTAATTTCATCACATAGAAAGCAAGGAGATCTCATGAGGACGGAGAACCATTTATTTAGACCAGGAGTAAGTTAATCAGGATGGCAAAATGTAAGGCGCCATGTAATTCACTGACTCATGGGTTTTGAATGATGTGAGAGTTTGTGACTATCGATCTATGGTCACATATTTGTAGAAAGAATTGAGATTGATCGTCCCAACATTGGAGTCGGGCTATATTTACTTTAATCTCAGCCATCACGTATTACTTATGCTCTAATATAGTGAAGCAACACAGAGGTTAAAAAAAGAAAATTAGACACAACTATATGTCTAATATTCAGTTCTAGTAGCTTATGCTCAGAGATGAACCATGTCATCTCATTTCTTTATAGTCTTGAGAGAAGATCTTGTTGTTAGTGATGAAATAGAACCAGAATGTAAATTCTTCATATGCTACAGGCAGAGGTTTCACCAAGCATTGAAACAGTCAGGGACTCCATCCAATTGAGCATTTAAAAGTTACCATATACCAGAATCTGAATCAATTTGCACTTAGTAATGAATTTTGAAAATAAGAACATTTTGATCTCATTCACTCTCCTATGATATTGTTCACATGGGGTGGTATTCACAAAAACTGGTTCTACTGTTTCATCTGTCTGATCACATTAAACATTATTGTAAGCATCCTCGACTCTCTACTTATCACTGTAATCCAGTTAGGCAGTGATACTCAACTTGTTTTCATCTGGGTTTTGACCTTCATTCTAGTACCAAAGATAACTGTTACAGTTGCTATGGAAACCACATCTTTCCACTACTGATGTAATTAAAGAACATTGATGCACTGATATGTGCCATAACTATGAATGTTACCAAGATGTGTAGAATTCTTATAAGTGAGTGGAGGTGATAGAATATGAAGGATTTTACAACATGCACTCACTTTGTGTGATTTACATAAGAAAATGGTCATGACTTTTTCAAGCCTTTTCTGTGGAATTTAAAATTTGTGTCAGTGCTTCAGTTGTGATTTGGTGTATTTAAAATGTCAAAGTATTAAGTGTTTTCACAGACTTTAGGTACACTTTCAAGTTTACATTTCATTGATATCATGTTATGATTAAGTGATATCCGTCTCTAGGGGATATATGGTTGTTATGGTAATCTTGCTTTTTGATTTTGATCTCTTTTTTGCTTTTGATTGATTGACTGGTGAAACACAATTTCATGCAGTTGGAGATGAATGAACCGCTAAACCTTAATGGTTTATATCTCCCTCAGGATATATCTAGTATCCTTAACTTTCAAAAACCACATACTTGCAGCAACATTAGTAAATCTTCATTTTTGCCCATCAAACCAGACATAAAAACAAAGTAAGAAATAGTCTTCTATCAAGTAGTCTAGCTCCAAGACTCTTGTGACCCATCACCCCCTTTACTAGACTAAACACCTATTCATTTTGGGGAGGTGTTTAGGGCCAGGGGGAGGCACAAGGGCTTGTAGCTAGACTATTTATCAACTATCCCCACTTCATTTACTTCAACTCTAGATGTATGTGTTTATGGGGGTGGGGGGTGGGGGGTGGGGTGAGGGGGTAGGGGTAGGGTTCTTAATGCAAGGCTAGTTCAGAAACATACAGGTGTAATAATTTAAGTAAAATGTAAATGTACCATCTGTCTCATAACACCTGACCAATAATCTCAGTGATGTAACATTTAACCAGCCAATTAAACAATTAGATACCTGATGTTAGACATCAGAGAGGCTGTTATATAAATTGTATATCATTGTTTTTCTGCAACATGGTACAATTACATGTAACCAAAGAATCATGTTTTATTTCACCATTCCTTTTTCTGATGGTTTGATTTCACCTTTTTAAGGGAGTTTCATACTACTAGCTGTAAGGTAGTTCAACACTCTGTTTTCAAGGAACAGAAACAAAAGATAAGCAGGTGTCAATGCAATATTGAAAACATCCTCTAATCATTGTATGTTATGTATGATTGTCACATTTCATGGACGTGTCTCATACTCAAATTGACAGATGACACTTCACTTGTTTTTAATTGAAAGTACACAGTTAGAAACAGTTTGACAAACAGCATCCTGATTGTCATCATGTAATCTGGCACACTTCTCTCAGGCCAGCATCTGCTTAAGACAATTAGTTTGATTGCATAACTCATACATCTGTACATACATATCAAAAGTCTTGCATGGAGCATTTGCTTTATGAATGATCACAGCCTCTTATCTTCCTTTCTTGAAGGATCTTGAGAGTTTGAAAATAAGTACAATATGTAAAAATCATAATTATTAAGAATAATGTCCAAACAAATATTTTTACTATCGATTTATTTTAAACTTGACATTGAACCATAGGGTAATTATCAAGGGTCTGCTAGCTAGGCTATATAATTGTGTAAAATTAGTTTCAGCGTATGTTTGTCATTGTTCAGTTCAGACAATAGTTCACAATTAGTGTCAGATAGTTAATTTAAACTTTTTCAAAAAAGGATGCAATCTTTCACTTAGTACATTTTAGACTTGCAATTTGTAGGAAATTGTTTTTTTGATGAAATGGCTTAAATGAATAGGTTTTTTACATAAGGTCATTGTGTCTACATAATTTCTTGAATGCTGTTTTTTATGAATGTAATGGTATGACATGCTCTCTGTTATAGATTTTTATGTAGAGCTTTTTTCAGGACATAGACTTCAAGGTGAAACTTTCCATCCATCAATGAATAAATTATAGATTATACAAAATTCCTTTAATTCACAACCTCCATATGCTATGTTCGCTCCATCATTAGATCATGTTAATAATTGATGGGATTGCATGTCATGAATTCTATCCTCAATACTTCATTACCAGTTTCTGCTAGTCTTGTCTTAGATTTCCAAGCTCTGGAGTCTGATATCAAACTGGAAAATGGCTATGTATTACATGTATTTGGACTAGTCTTGCATTTAATCAATGTAAACCCCCTCCCAAATAAATTATGTATCTATTATTTATATACTCAAGGGTTGGGAATAGACAATAAAAGAGTGTGATGGATAAACACAGAGATTGAATGTTCATCATGACCGTTATAAAAAATATATGATTAGTATCAGAATATTTTTCATTTTCTTATGAAATTGAGACCAGAGACTAGTTAATGCAAGACAAAGTCCCTCCAAGCTAATCTTCAATCTTGATATTAATAAAAAGTAGTATGGAAGATCTAAAATGCAGCTATATGGATGATATATTGATTCCGTATATATGAACAGTACATAGTTACCTGTATATATAAAAGAGGTAATATTGGTACCAGCTACAGACTGGATCAATACAGGTACATTGTACATGCAATTTTGAAAAATCACCTTTATCTTAAGACTGACTTTTCAGAATCTTGATAGCATGTATCACCTCTTCATAAAGGACAATTCATGGACTATATTTACCATGGTACACTTGGTTATTGACTTAATATACATTGATTTAAGTCTATGTACATATGTAGATATTTACATACACATTTTGCCAATGTATGTTCATTTGTGACTACACAGATCAAAATTGATTGAAGTCAGCAAATGGAATGATTAAGTATTTGTTTTATCCATTTATACAGCTTTTAAGTTTTCAAAACTAAGTACATACTTGTAGATTATGCGTGAAAGTTGGACTTATGCTTTTAAAAGTGAAATCTGAATAGTTTACATGTTGAGGGACTGAGTTGTATTTACCAATTTAAAGTGGATGTGTGAATGCTGTTAGTACTTGACCAAGTTTAAATAAGTCATTGATAAGTTAAGAGAAGTATATGAGGATAGGAAACTTGATAAACCTTCCCTAGTTTATCTTATACCATGTACCAGTACATTAACCTCAACCACACATGTGCTTTGTAACTTTTGATATGATGTTGATGGTAGCATAGGTGGTCATGCATTAAGGCATCAATAATGAGCTGTAATGTTCTTTAAAGATCAACTCAAGTAGTAAAGTCCACATTCTTAAGAATAACTCCCCAGAAATTAATAACACTGAAAGGACACCTAGCCATATTCTTTAAAGGGAGTGGCCTGGGATATGTACAATATACATGTATCGAACATTGCAAAATATAAGATCAATCTGAATAATCTATGAGACAATGGCAGTGGAAAGTATAACAATTACTATAAGTGATGCCTAGATATACTTCAATCACTAAGTTGACCTTATACGCCCTTATCCCTGGGTTGTAGCTTGTGTGACTTCAATCACTACTCTGGGGGTGACCTTAAATGCAACCAATCACCATATAGAAATATCTGTGTCAATCGATTGAATTGTGAGAATGAAATGAATACTAGATTACTCTCTGGTTACATAAATTATATGGAATAATGATTAAAAATAAATGAAACATCAATATAAGTACCTGTACATGTTAGATGACAAACGGATGAATTGAAATTCTAAGAAAATCATACACCCTTGCTGTGTATAGACAATACAGATAATATAGGAAATTAGAGCCTTACAATATTTCACGACCCAGATAATTATTTTGAGAACCATCCTCATGGACACTGTAACAATACCTTACAAATATACAGTCTGATCAAATAATATTTTAAGCAGACAATAGTGATACTGCAATATACTAATGTAGTTACATTCATCTTTCAGCTCCTATACATGTCCTTCAAAGTTATAATTGAGATTATTATTTGAGATTGCTCCGTCTTCAAATGATATCTGCATCTATTCTAGGTCCCTTACATGCTAGCTATCATAGCGATCATTTATTTATTAATTTTGGGTTAATTTATTGTCGGGAAGGAACATTCATTCCATAATGTAACATAGTTACCTAATAAAACAAGATAGGAAAATTGAAATACACCTATTCCTGGTATTATCAATTTACCTTTCATTCCGGGGTAGAATTTCTTAATCAGTAATTTTGTAGGTAGGCTTCATACTAATCTTCAACATGATTTGTATTTTGTAATATTATAGTCAATTTTCCATTGTAAGATATATGTGAAAAGTAATAAGAAATCTGATCTTTTTACACGATATTGCAAAGCAAAATTAGGTGAAGTATATTGTGGCTTATAATAATGAACACCGAAGCCCACACAAAATTGTAATTAAATGTGTGAATTATCATGTTACGAAGAATGAATAAGGAAAATGGATATTAATTAGATTTGAAAATGAATGATTGATGACTTTATTAAAGAAACCAAGTTTGGAGCCACGTGATAATATCGTCATTCTTATTCTGGCAAAGATACAGAATTTACTTCTCATTTCAAAATTTTTGGTTTCCCTTTTGCTTCTCTTGCTGTGGATCCCTTTGCTATAATAGCACTCATGATCATCATGTGTCTGATTATTTATTTTTTATTTTTATTTTTGTATTCTCAACTTGGCTTGGGGGCTCAGTTGGTTCATTACTCAGTGTTAGCAAAAATACATTTTTAATTAGAATTTTCATGTTGCCAGGTAACTGCTGAAGATATGCTGTGGTGTGAGAAAGTGCTTAATAGACCTGGAATTTCTTCAAAATGAAAAATATCACATAAATGTAAATTAGTGAACGGAGTTAATCCAAATATTTTGGTCGAAGTAGCTTTCTTTTAAACCATATTGGGAGTTAAAGATGTGAATGACAAACAGTCAGTGGCAATTTATAATTGATTAATAATCCTTGCATTTGTATAATAGGATTTTGCACTATACAGAGAATGTAGGTCTAAACTCTTGTTATGCCTTATCTTAAATAATTACATGTAATACATCACAGTGCTAGAATGATTGAGTGTTTCAGAATATTAGGACTTTCATGATGAATATGTCCTCAGTTGGCCATACCTTCTCTTCATCTCATTTTAATTTGCCTTTTATAAACCAGAAGGTCCTCATGATGATACTAACTAGAAATGGCCACCCTTTAATATGATGTCACAAATTACCCACATACTTCAAAACAAACAAAAATTGACTAACAGACTTACATGTATTTGTGATTTTAACACAGAATTTATTGATACTAGACATTCAATAAACGTTAAAGATCCTAAAATCAATTGCAGGTCATTTATGTTTTAGAGCTTGGTGTTTTTCTGGGAGGGTTAATAACATAAATCAGATGTACTTGTGGAACATCTGCATCCAGACCTATTGTCTGAGAGCTATATAGACCTTGAGTGGGGTTAATAGAGAATATACAATATATTGGTCATCTGTCCTATTCTTGAGGACATTCTAAATACTGTAAAACCTTAATAAACTGAACACTCTCTTGTAACCTACATTTAGTGTTCATTATAGAGAGGTGTTGGTTATATGGGTGTACAGTGAAAAATCAACCAAAGTTATGCTTATATTTTAAGATTCTACTGTTGAGGTATGAAATCTATACAAGTATGCTGTGGTAACACAAGGTTGAGACTGTATGTGTGCTGTATATATAGGTTTAATTGTATATGTAAACATTGGGGTGGGAGATAAGGTGAATGGCTCTAGAGACTGCCTACCACAAGTTACATACAAACCACAAAATGATATACCACCTGCAAAGTATTTGCATTTCACAAGACTTTAAACATTCATTAGTTTCTAGTGACATAGAATTAAGTGATTGATTTTTTATTGGTTTTCAATCTTCTGAATATATATTTCATCAACTACATTATTCAGATGCTTAGGGTAAACTATATGAGGTACTGAACATTGATGTCAAGAGTCTTTTTGCAGGAGCGTACTTTTCTAATATGTTCATCTAGTTTAGCTAGATATCTCAAAATAACTTTATTATACTGTCCTGACACTAGATTTGGAAAATTTCTGATCATGTCTCAAGTTTGTTTTGAATATGCTTCAAATACTGATATAGTGAACTTAACCTTATAATTCCGGACATTCTGGGCCATCTGAAGAGTCATTGATTACTCTACTATAAAATACCATCTTGCTATTTTGCTAAAGATTCTGTTATTCTTTTAAAGAGATTGAGAATTTGCATTAGCTAGGGTCATTCCTCTTAATCAACTCCACTGGAATATCTGTATTTTAAAATGGAGAAAATCGTTCAATTATGCAGCATTAGTCTTCTTGTGAAATTTTATGTTTTGGGGAGTCGATAAATAAATGAGGTCAGACTTGAGAGAAACAGCCCTGCTGCAGTTACATTGATGCAGGTGGAGAGAGTAATCATGGTCTTATCAGCCCTCTTAGACCACAGATTAGCTGACTATATTTAAACAATGGTTATTACACTTTGAGCTCTCATAGCAAGTATCTTGGAGGTTTTTAGTGTGTTTTTGCATCATGACAAACCGTGTCATCTCCTTCTGCGACTCTTAATAGAGTAAGACAGAAAGATGTGATGAAAATCAGTATTGTCTTGGGTACCTTCTTAGCAAAGTCATTGGTTTAGTTAAGATATAAAAGTATAACATTTTATTTCATGCCCTTTAATTTTGTGAATGTGGCACATACTTAGACCAGAGAAATGGCTTTTAATCAATGCAGGTGTTATAGCATTTCAGGTCATCAGACCCACTGTTGCAAGCCTGCAGAACACAAGAGAGTAACCTCATATTCTCAGGTCACGCTGGGCTTCATGTATTCCTCTATTGTTAGGCTGCTTCCATGTAAATATTAACAATATGGGTCCGCTATTAGTATTCAGCTACTACTAATAATTGAGTGATTTATACTATTAATGCAGAATAGTAATATGCATTCTGTATTTGAGTTCTTATTGAGAGTGTAATTACTCGCAGATGCCTATATTGGAAGAATTGGTTCAAACTATTGAACTAGTTAACTATGTTAAGATTTCTATTTATGGTTTTCTTTGAAGAGGGTTGGTGCTTATGGTAATCAGTAAAGGAACCTTATTTATTAGCTGATTTGGGATTGTTTGGAGAGCCACAGTGAGAGATATCCTGTTGTTTTTGTACGGTTTACATTTCCTAGTTTTTATTGGCTTCCTTGATGTACAAGCTTTGTATGTGTCATAATGTGAGAACATTGAAATGAAAATATTTGGTTATCGTTGATTCAGTTCCATAATCAAACTTCAAATAGACTATAAAATTAAGTATACTGAATCTGAGGTAATTATAATGACTAATTTTCTAAGTATAGAATTATTAAAATACTAAATAAAAATTTGTAGACCTGAAAAAGTATATGCCAAAAGCAATAACAGCATACAGAATAGCTATTCTTATGATATCTATTTGTATATTTCCAGGCAAGAGTTGACGTAGATCCAGATGGGAACGGAGCAAAGATATACGCATGGGCTTATGACATAAACAGAGGCAGAGCCAGTGGTCATTTTGTACATGAACTATTATGGTAGGTTGATATTGAAGTGAATATAATATAATATTAAAAAGGATGCCAAAATATCATTGTTGTTTTGTTTTAATGCTACTCGTCAAAATGATTTCTGCTGTGAACTTAAAGCAATTGATCAAGTTAGGACATTTATTTGCTATGTGATAACATTATTAGTACTTGTAATATTAGACTCTTTCTCAATATCTCAGATAGATAGATCCAGGGGTTTCACTAGAATTTCTTACAACAGGCTAAATAAATGAAAACAACAGGCAAAATAAATGGAAATCATAAATTTAACATGGAAAATTGAAAAATTCTCTAAAATCAACAGGCGATTTTGTGAAAACAACTAGTGAAAGTTGCCTGTTGCCTGCTACTAATGAAACCCCTGTAATTACTTATTTTTGAGAAAAATACTCTACATGATGTGTTTTATATTTTTCATGTGTTCTATATTTTCCATGTGTTCTTTAGTTTTCACGTGTTTTTTATTCTTCAGGGAGAAACACTGTGGAGGAATAGCACCAGGCTGGAAAGTTATGCATAAAAATGGAATAACAGTCGACAACCGACTTGAAAATCTTAGTCTAGTCCCATCAAACAGAAACTGTGTCCCAATTGAGGAGGTGCCAAGTAAAAATCGTGAAACAAGTTTATACTGGGTAGCCATTCAGCAGTTGCCAACAGACCCTATACAGGAGGTATGTTTGTTTGTCTGTTGTTTGTTTATTTGTTTGTTTATTTTATTTAAAGAAGATGAATTTGTTGTCATCGGCATTCATTGGTTTCATTTGTCTTATTTTAAAACAAGCTGATCTTCAGATTGATTCTAAAATATCATGGTAGTTACTTGAGACGAAAATGTAAACGCTGCCATTTTCGATTTTTTGTTGTAAGATGTTGAAATATATCATATATGGCAATATCCTTGTATTAAAAAACATACTTTAAACATCACTTCTATTTCAGCAGCATTACCCAGAATGCCTGTACAACAGGTTCTATAATGCTAATGGTGAGGTAGTTGAAGAAGACGATGACACTAACGTATATTATGAATGTCACTATCCCCCCTGCTCCAGTATGGAAAAAGAACTTAGAGAATTTAGTATATGTGGGCGCTGCCAAGAAGTCAGGTAATAAGTTAAGAATATGTAGAATGTTTTGTACAAGGAATGATATTTCGAGTATACAAATATGTTTTAAACTCGTATAAATCATAGCTGATCAAAATAACAACAATCAAAACCTACTACTGTACATATAGAAAAAATTGCTCTCAGTTAAGATCATTAAACCTTTTAAACTTTTTGCTTCAGTTGATTTTCCCCTTTCAAGTTCTTGAGGGAATGATTTAACAATCATTGTACTTATACTTTCCTTTCATCTTCCAGGTATTGTGGTTCATACTGCCAACAGAAAGACTGGCCAATACATAAAAAACATTGCAGGGAACGAAAAAGGCCATATGTTACCGAACGTCCTCCAGATCGTTAAAATCCATTATTTTCTACATAGATCTATTATTTATTTGCCATTTTGGCTAAAAACAAGATTTTAAACTATTATTATGATATGTCAAAGAGGCTTCAACAGCAGCTTTATATGGGAGAAATGGAGTTCAAGCCATTCTGAGATTCTACAGTCTTATTGGTCAATTTTGATGTGACCTGATCACATCGACTTGGGATGGAACTTCTTGTGTTCATAATCTTCATCAAAGTTCGAGATGACATCACCAACTAACTTTGGAATCCATTAAGCAATGGAATGTTGAGCACCAGAACATAATGAACTCAAACTGGAATTCTGAAATTCACCATCCAAATGTTTTCTGTGATTTTCATACAAAGGGATGAATTAACGAGAACATCAGTGAACAGACAGAGACACTTGGCTGTACAATCACAAAGGAAAAACTGGGGAAATCAGACTTAAAGTTAGTTGGCATTGGGTATTCCCCATCACCCTTTTTATCTCAGGGGGAAGGAATGAGGCAGAAACTTGGTGCAAGGCTAGACATGACTGAAAAACTGTTGATACACTTACTCCCCTGAACTGGCAGACATGTTGGGATATCAATTTCATGATGAGAAATTAGAGCTTTGAATTGGAAGATTTTCATTATGTGTACCAGTATATGATCTCAATTTATCTATCATCTCTTTAGTCAGTTTAATCAAGTCAAAGAACTACAACAAAGTAGCACTCATAGTTCCATATTGATGCTCAACATTAGACAATGTGCCATTTACTAGTGCAACTACTGTATTGAAAGAACAGAATATTGTGTAAGCAATCACGTCTTAGCGGTCATATTTTGAAATGCAAAATAGAGTGAAAAAAATAAATCAGGTTTCAGTGATCTCCCCAGCATTAAAGCAAGTGGGCGCAACACCCAATTGAGATTTTGAAAATAGGTTTGCACCCACCTGAAAATCCATTTGCACCCACTTGAAAATGAGAAATTCATGAAAAATTTGCATATTTTGACTAATATTTGTCTGAATTTTGAAAATGAGAATTTTGCACACACCTGAGAAAAAATCCTGGGGAGATCACTGGGTTTATAGTTATCAGTCTAAATTATAGAGGCCTGATTTTTGAAGGCCTGAAGCAAGAGTAACATAAAATAACATGCACACTAACACAATCATAATACAGGACCCATGAATTTGAATAGTTTATTCTGAATTCAATAATAGAGATTGATTAGTATACGACGATTAGGATTCTAATTTTTTATTCATGGTAACTTTTCTGTTTTCACAATTACACAAGAAATCATAATTATTAGGATTATCTAATTGGAAACTAATTCCATATGCAGTTTGTCTTATTTCATTAATGATTTTGTTCAGTCTCAAAAAGAATTGCCTGAAATGATTAGTTACAGGTAACTATTTAGAATTGTTTGCTTTACTTATTTAAGTTATGTTTTGTAACATTGCCTTAATATATGTTGGCCAAAGCTCTGATATTGTCCAAAAATACAGTCCAGTCTTGAATATTGAGTACACTTTATAGTTCGTACCCAGTTTTAGTTTTGAGTTCGATGTTTTTTTGTACCTGCAAATTAGTATTTAAGTTATCTATTTACAATTTCTATAAAATTGTAGTCAATATGGATATGTCATGCATTGATTATCACTTTTCTGTGGAGACTTTTGGAGATCGATGTTTGATTTGTTTTGAATATGAACAGAACTTCCTTACTCCTTGCCAATTTCACTCATTTACTCATTGTAGCAATGAAAAGCATGACTCCTGTGTGACAATTCTGCACAGTTATTAATACATTCCAGAATCTAAGTAATTGCCATTCCAATAACAGTCAAATGCAGAGCCTCAAGAAATGTCTCCAATTTTCTATGCATTAACATTAAGCAAGTGACATGGAGCCATATTTTTAAGGCTTTGCATTATACTATTCTTTAACAGCACATTTCTCTATCTTTTAATACAGATAATGAGCTTGATGTAAACTTGGCTTCATGAATTTTATGAGAGGATATTCTAAAATTATTGTAAGACAAAATTTGGTTATTGGTACTACTAGGGTACCAGTATGTGATACAGTCCAATGTACAGCCTCATGAAAATATAGGCATTCGGGTATTGATCCTCATAATTGCATGGGTTATTGGAGCCATTTTTGGAACTGTGAATCAGACGGAAATCATGACAAGCATGTTGTCTATTTATCTTACACATATTTTATTGCTTATTATCTTCTATTAACCTGTTATTCACAACAAGACAATCTATCCTGAATAAATTTTTTAGAATCAAGTTTTTTGACAAGAATGGAAGCCAATGATTTAACACTGTCTCATTTAGCTAGAAGAATATATGAAGAGAATATATATTAATTTTGTATGTAATCGTCCACTAACATACTAACCTTGCCCCTAAGTGCAATATATTTAATACTAGTCATACTTGGGGGTGATAGTTGTGTATAACTAACCTTCTAACATGGTGTTTTCATTGAGGGTGTGTTCCCATAAGAAATTCCATCGGGTGTTGACGAATATCAAAAGCTCAGATATTTTTCTTGTCAACTATTGTCTGTGGAACCAATTTGATATTAGGAATTTTTTTTCACTTTCGAATGGTTTTTCTTCAAGGGAGAACACCCGCAGTTGATGTTTGTAGAATCAGGGAATTTTTACTTAGTTTCAAAGGGGCTTTGTAGTGATTGTTAGTAGGAACGAATTCTAAAATTATGTTCATGATTATTTATAATTATACTTTGCTTATTTACAAAATTATTGTGATGATTTGGAGGTGTACAGGTGCTGCCTCTTGTGGCCAAATTAAGAACTAATCATGTGTAATAACTTATTGTAGATTAATATATTAACACTTCAATTTTAAAACAGATCCATTTTTGTATGGTTATATGTGACCAGAGTTATGTAAGTTATTGAGTTGCATGCCATCTATACTAATTTTATTAATGTATGACAATGATGAGAGTATACCTGTAAAATACAGGTATGGTTTGCAATAAATGTATAAAACTGATATAAATATTTTGTTATTTTTACTTATTATTTTTTACATAAATCATCAAAACTTAATTTATTTCTCCCCATTGATGATCCCTTTTGTTGTTACATGTGTTAATTTTGAGTCTACCCAAGTTTTTTATCAACAATACATGGGCATTTTTCATGATTCACTTACTGTCACTTTAACCCCTGTTAATTTTATCCAACTTAATTTTGTGGTCAAAAACCCAATTTTGACATCTCTCCTTGAGTCGAGCCAATTAGACTCTGACACAGCACAGAATCTTGGACATCAATTTATTCCCCTATTCCATTGAATTCATCTCTGACCTTGGAATAACAAAGTGCACATTCCATCCCTTTACCCATTCTCAATAATATTGGCCTTTAAACTTTAAATCTTTTATCATGTTATGGATTTCAATGTCATAATACACATTACAACAAAATACCTACAAACTTTGTATTTCTTGACTTGCTCTCTTGAATGAAATGTACTTAATAACTTGTATTTCTTGATGCCTACATATTCTTTTTATTAGATGCACTGCAATGTGCTGTAGTGCACTTCTATAATTCAAATTCACACACAGCTAGGCAAGATGTGTCAGATTTTAGCCAATCCTAACACAGTATTTCATATAACTGCAGCGCATTATATTACTAATCATTGCATCCAAGGTCACTTGTTAGACAGTTGTCAAGGAGACAAGTTGACTCTCCAGATTGAAATTGATACTTTGCCAACTTGACCCTTTCAAAAAGTGCCATCGAAAATAAGTTCTTTTAGTGATTTTGTATCCTTTTGGTGATTTCATAGAAAATATTTTTCAATGTGTGAAAAGAATTTTAAGCCCAAGACTCGTGCATTGTGGCTGCTTCATTCAACCCGGGCATTATTTCCTAAACTTTGCATTCCAGCTGCGCTGTCATGCAAATAGGAAATAACACATTCAATGGAATGATTCCGCACACAATGCACTGAGTCCAGGGCTTAAATCCTTAATTGAAATACCTAAAAAAAGTTCTGTTGATCTTGCATGACAGACTGCACAGATGGACTTGATAATGCAAACAGTTTTTGGACAATTTACTTGAATGCCATCTATATGAAAATATCAATTTAATTTTACCAAAAAGTACAATTCGAAGTGTTATTGTACCATTTTGTACAACATGGCCGCGCCCATGATATTTTAATTTTTATAATTTTGAGTAAGCAATCATTAATTTTGACGAAGTTAGACTAAAATTTGATACTTCAAATAAAAACCAAAATGAAGACAGTATTGATGGTTGCAGAAAAGCCATCTTTGGCTCAATCTCTCGCCAAGATTCTTTCCAATGGACAAATGGGTTCCAGAAAAGGGACAAATGGCGCCTGTTCAATTCATGAATACAATGGGAAGTTCCAGGGAGAGTCAGTTCGCTTCAAGTTTACCTCAGTCTGTGGACATGTCATGTCCCTTGACTTCATTGGAAAATACAATAACTGGGACAGAGTAGATCCGGTAAGTAAAATCATGGGGTTTCAAGCCCATGGTAAATTTTTTTACAGAGGGACTGCTGCCGCTTCTGATGAGTTGGAATATTGGAATTTCATCATTTTAGGTTGAACAGATCTCAGATATATACTCATACTGTAAATTTGGTCTGTTTTTAAAGTGGGGAACAAAAATAAACCTCAACCATCAAAAGTTGTCACAATGAGCTAAATTCTAAGTTTCGTGTCTCAAACTCTCCCAAGCGGTAGAAAAATAATTCCCGTTCACTTTTAGTAGCATAATTAATGAATCCAAAGCTTCATACCTGCGAATGATGGATAAATCCCTACCAAACTGAACGAATGTTTTTATGAATCACCATGCATTGTGATCCAAGGAGGATTGACTCCCAGAATGCAGCATCAGTTATCCTTATTTACTCGTGACAGGTTTCAAAATGTTGGAACAGCATTTTGAAAGCTTGCACGTGTCATGTTGCATTCTGGGAGCCAATCCTCATTGCGGCGTAATCGGGCTCCAAAATCACCTCAACATTTGATGAGTCGGCATTAACTTGTGAATATCCACTTTAAATTTTTAAGTTCTTAATTGTCATTATGGACACAAAGTCCACTATATCTGGACTTACTAGGACAGAGAAAATAGAGCACTGAATGCACTGAGGTAAGAATTTATTACATGTGCGACAGCATGTAATTTTTACATGTGCGACAGCATGTAATTTTCATAGCTATAGTAATTCTTTATGTTCCCCACTGTACCAGTATATCTAAGTTTTGGGGTCAGAGCAGTGGCCCAGCTCTAGTGTCGTTGCCATATTAATAGCTGCCAATGGCTAAATGCCAAATTAAGGTCAGTGTGCACTTTGGTGAAATTTTATGACCATGTGCTATTTTCAGATAAACATAACTCATTCCACACATCATCTACATCTTTCATTCTTGCACCAAAGATGCATGAGTGTACCTACATGTAGACTATTAATTGATGGTTGATAATTCTTCAGGATGTTTGAATAACTAGAATATTCAGTGGTTTACTTTTCAAAATTGCAATAAAATCCAAAGTGCACTCTGGCCTTAAGTAGCACCAAGTTAACCAAATCTATAGTAACTAGAATTAAGTCTTAGGATACTCCACTATGATTGCTTACAGGGGTTTCACTAGAATTTCTCACAACAGGCTAAATAGTAAATGAAAACAACAGGCAAAATTAATGGGAATCATGAATTTAACATGGAAAAGTTGAAAAGTACCTCAAAACAACAGGTGATTTTGTGAAAACAACTGGTGAAAATTGCCTGTTGTCTGCTGCTAATGAAACCCCTGGCTTATTTTTTAGGTTGTATTGACGCATAACCCAATAAAATAGACTATTTTATGACAGTTCTTTCAAGTCTCCTGAACAAGAGATCGTGATAGACCAGTCTTGTAAAATGGAAGTCGGCTGTATTACTCTTGTCACTGACACTTTGATTCTATAAATTGTTGATCTAATCAAAGAATTATACAAATAAATGAGAATGAATGTGAATGCCAAAGTAACACTGATGTATATTATTTTTATTGACTTATGACAGGCTGAGTTGTTTTCTGCCCCTACCTTGAAGAAAGAAGCAACAGAGAAGCTACACATGCCAAAGTTCCTGGAGAAAGAGGTATTACCAGAGGCTGATTATATGTAAATGTATTTAGAGGTCTCCCCAGACTTAACATAGCATAATGCACCATTCAAATAAAATTTGAACTTTCATCAGTCGAATATACATGTACTCACAACATTGGCCTTTCTGATGAGTAAACTCACTCAAAACACATGTTAATATAAACTACAGACCATAGGTTTAGTTCCAGTGAAATGGTAACTGTTAGAGTCAAAAGATTAAGTTGCATTCAGTTGGAAATTCATTTGCACACAGTAGAGAATGTGTAAGCAGTTGTGTGTAATATCATCAGACAGGAAAATTTGTCTTTATGAAACAGTTTTGGACATTTAAAAAAACAAGAGCACTGATTTGAATGAAACATTTCATCACTATTGTGTTAATCTTCAATTGAAATCTTAGTTGAATGACTGCTTATATATGACATTGGATTTACATTTTATAGCCTGATTTGCACATTTTCCCTGATATTTTCCAAATTCATTGTTTTAATTAAGGAATAAAGACTGAGATTTTATGATTTATGTCGTGATATATGACTGAAAAATTTATTCTATTCATTGTTAAAAGACCGAAATCGCGTTGCAATTGAGGTCTTTGGCAATGGCCAGAATAAAATTTGAGTAAAATATTTGACATAAATCATAAAATCGAGGTCTTTGTTACGATTCTAACTATGATAAACAGACAAGAAAAACAAATATATGCATTTGCAAATTTAAGTGGTCATACACACTCCAATATAGACCAGTAAATCAATTGTTCTAGTTATTGTGACGTCACGTTTCATATTAGAATTGAGTTTTATGAATAGAAATAGTGGCACCAAGCGTTAATGTGAATAAATCTGTCATGTTTTTTTCATGGTCTAGGCAAGAGGGTCTGACTACCTTGTACTGTGGCTAGATTGTGACAAGGAAGGGGAGAATATTTGCTTTGAGGTGATGGATGCCTGTAAGCCAGTAATGAACCCATCCAGGGGCAAGGAGCAAGTAAGTAGTATAAGGTTAACGAGAGCCAAAACTGGAATAAATTTCCTGAGTAGGTCGTTCTTCACACCTGTCCTATTGGTCCATGTGTAAATAATGCTGTAAGAGAACAAACAAATATTCTATATAAACCACACTCTTAAATCATGTTTACCATCTATCATCATGAAGGTTTGTACTTAAAAAAACTACATCTGGCATCAATTATGTGGTAGCATTTTCACAAGTGACAGATATTACATTAGTTAGTTATAGATTTGTAAGAACACAGGAATGCAAGGGACATTCCTTTTGTGCATGGAAAAAACAGTCTATATTTCAATAATTGCTCATGGTTCAACATTTTAAAGTATGAAATTGCAATTTTTCTTTTCTCTAGACTATATTCAGGGCCCACTTTAGTGCAATCACCGAAACTGACATAAAACGCGCAATGAGTAACCTTGGATCGCCAAACCAAAATGAGGCTCTCTCTGTAGATGCAAGACAGGAGTTAGATCTGCGAGTTGGATGTGCATTCACTAGATATCAAACGAAGTTCTTCCAGGTTAGTGTTAAAAAAATTGCAGTAATTTCATTTAAGATGTAGTCAACGGGTTTACATTTTAATTTGGTTACATTTAGGGGTATTTCTTATAGAAAAAACATTAGCTATCTAAAAAGTATTGTGAAGTTATTTGATAGTTAATATATTGATAGACTATAAAAATGAAGAGAAACTGTTTTCATATTGTTGATTTATCTACAGTATTTGAATTGTAAATATCACAGATTGGTTGCATGTAATAGTTTGTTTCTGGTATATTGAATTGATTAGAGTAAATTAGAGTAAGATCTTATGTTTGGCATAACCTCTCTGGCAAAGTCCAATTTTGGCCTTTACTTTCAGGGGAAGTATGGTGATCTAGACTCTACACTGATCTCATATGGGCCTTGCCAGACTCCAACCCTTGGTTTCTGTGTAGAGAGACATGATAAAATACAATCTTTCAAACCTGAGCCTTTCTGGGTGCTTCAAGCTCTGGTAAGGAAACTGTGTTACTATGGATACTATTTTAACAATGTTAATTTGGATAACATTTTTATACCCTGACATTATGTCACCACCAGAAGTGATGACATATTGTTATAGTCTCCAACTGTTTTGTGGATGGCGTTTGATGGCTGGTAATCAGTGGTTGGCCTTCGGCATCTGTAACAGCATTCAGCAGTTGGTGTCTGTAACAAATGGCAGGTGGTGACATTTTGCATGTTAATTCTTTGTAACTTATTACTGCAGATCAAACTATCTTTAAAAAAGGGTAATCAAACTATTGAACAGGGTACTATTTCAGAAAAATGTGAATAATAATATGTAAAATCTAATTGTCTTTAATGCTATTACAATGGCAATAGGATATTGAGTCATAGTTCATGTTTTTTTAGAAACACGTCTGTGTTTTTGAGGTCCTTAGACTTGAGACATTCAGCATTAAATAACTCTGAGTTTACATGTAATGTACATTAGACCATCTTGCAAGAATAGATATGATAATTCTAATATGCATCACATCGTAATCCTTTCAACAAACATGATTTTGAGAAGGCTGTGGTATAGCATGAAGAGTGTAAGAATTCATTTGATAATAATGCCTTTTAATTTTTTAAATTGTAGATTACAATAGAGGCAAACCGTAGCCTCACTCTGGACTGGGACAGAGTTCGCATGTTCGACAAAGATGTTGCCCAGATGTTCCTCAACGTAGTAAAAGGCATTGACAAGGCTGTGTAAGTCCTTTATACGAGATAAGCCAACCCTAAATAAGAATTAATAAGATCAACAAAAAGATATCTGGGGAGACATGTACCGTACATTTACAAATTACATCAAAACAATCACGATCTGTAGATTTTTGGAATGAATAGTTGTAATGTACAATTATATTTTGGTAAAAGTACAAATGCTGTTTGTCAAGGAATGGGTTTCTTATAGTGTTACCACTTTATATTTTACTACATGTTTCTTTATTTGAAGGATTAATGAATAAACATAAATATATTGATTTCTTTGCTCTCATTAAAACCATGTTATAAATGATGAGTGACAATGATTTATTAGTTACAGTATTTCTGAATTGTGTTATGTTACAGCGTAACTTCAGTTACTAAAAAAGAGAAGGTGAAACAGCGCCCGTTGGCTTTGAACACTGTTGAGATGCTTAAAATGGCCAGTACTGGACTTGGTAAGTTTAGGACTCTATTTATTTGCTACCGTTAAAGTATATTATCTTTGAAATAAGAAAAAAATATTCAGAATTCAGGTATGTATTGTATTCTTATTGTTTTAGCCTGATATAATAAATACTATAAATAGCTTTAAAATATTTATCTTGGAAATAAAAAAAAATCAGAATTGAGGTACTCGTATATTCTTATTGTCAAATACAATATGTAAATGACTTTGTATGTGATTTTAGGTATGAGTCCCCAGCATACAATGCAGATTGCAGAAAGGTTATACACCCAGGGTTACATAAGTTATCCAAGAACTGAAACTACACATTATCCTGATAAATTTGATTTGAGGTAAATGTTATATTTAATGACTAGACGCATGTAGAAATAATCCTGATTTAGTGAAATTTACATCTAGAATTACATCTAGAAATGTGGTTTTAAAAACTGTTACTCAACTTCGAAATTTTAATTTCCTCTGAAAATGTGACTTCTAGGCAGAGTAGATTCCCTATATATATAGAGCCCATGCTATTAACAGTGAAATACAGTCTGTATGTAATTTAAAAGTGAAACTCTTTTCTTGTATTGGACAGATAATATTTTTCTTTTATGGACATATTTTCAGTTGTATAAATATCTCAAACGGGTTTTGGGAAAATTGATCCACTAAATCTATTGAAAATTGAAGTTTAAGGGAACTTTTCATTCATCTGCCAGCTACGCGATGGTGAAATTGGTAACTACCTACCTAAAATAGGTCCTAAAGCTGGCGATCTTTGTTGTATTTTATTTCACAATGTTCTGTATATATTTCAAATTTCTGTTTTTCCAAATTAATTGTTTTGTATTATCCAGGGGAACCCTTCAACAACAGTTGTCTAACACATCTTGGGGACAATCAGTGAATGACCTACTAGCCCAGGGTATCAACAGACCCCGTAAAGGCCATGATGCTGGGGACCATCCTCCCATCACTCCAATGAGAGCAGCTTCAGAGGCAGAGCTTGGCTCTGAGAATTGGAGGCTGTATGATTTCATCACTAGGCACTTCATTGCTACAGTAGGTTTTAAGCAGGGGTTTGTTATACTGTACATTTCTCCTTTATAAAATCCTCCCTGTTTTGATCTTTACTGATTTGACTGCAGTCGGATATTGAAAAATCTAGATGCCTTTTAATAATGAAATATTTTATGAGAGTATCTTCTCAGGTCAGACATTAAATTAAGAGTAATTTCAAGGTTGACTCTAATTACAAATGCTTGTTTCATGTTCTCAGGTTCATATACAAACCAAATAGTAATTTCATTGCCATAAGAAGCTAAGCTAGATGCTGTTGCCGTAACCATGAGGTCTTGAGTTCGAGATGCATGAGCTCCTTGCATTTATCCATTAATATATCGGGTGTCCCAAAAAAAACGTCCCGCTTTTTGACATCTCATATCTCTGCAATAAATAAACCAATTCCTTTGAAATTTATCAGGATGTAATATTAGGGTATTATCCACAAGTTGTAAAAATATACAAGGAATCCAATGTAGATCAAGCGAGTATTGACAAATACAAAATAGAATATCAAGAAATGTAATATGATATATTCACTTAATTCTAGGTGAGTTCTGACTGCAAATACCTCCAGACTACTGCCCACTTCAAGATTGGCCAGGAGAAGTTTTCTTGTACTGGGAAAAGTCTGATAGACCCTGGGTACACAGGTCTTATGACATGGCAGGCCATCACCCAGGACGAAAAGATGCCTGTTTTTACAGAGGGTCAATCTTTACCTATAGAAGAGGTTTGTATCCCATAATTCACTGTGTTCACTTAGGACAGTTTCTGCCTATAGAAGAGGCAAATAAATCCCACTATTCATTATGTTCTTTTAGGGACAGTTTCACTTTATAGAGGATAATGTGTCACAAAATTCATGTTTACAGGTGTGCAGTCTCTACTTATAGAAGAGGCAAATGTATCCCAGAGTTGTTATGTTCATTTAGGGCCTTATTGTGATCTCCATGTAATAAGGACTTTACTAAGATTTAAGGAGAGTCTCGCCCTATGGAATAGGCAAATGTATCCCAAACTTCCTAATGTTCATTTGAGTTTCACCTTATAGAAGAGGCAAATATGTATCCCAAATTCACTAAATTATAGAGGACAGTCATTTTGAAGAGGTATTTGCATATCGATGTTTAATGTTCACTTTTAATCTTACAGGCCAAATTAGTTGAGAGACAAACAAGTCCGCCAGATTACCTTACAGAGGCTGAGCTGATTGGTTTAATGGAGAAACATGGGATTGGTACTGATGCTAGTATCGCTGTACATATAAACAATATCTGTGAGAGAAACTATGTGAATGTTGGTGGTGGCAGAAGGCTCAGACCAACACCCTTGGGGATTGTGCTCGTCCATGGATACCAAAAGGTTTGTTAATAAGTCAATACCGTTTTTTCTCTAATAAGCGTATAATACAGTTTCCAGATTGAAATTCAAAAGGGTACAATATTGGGAGATTCCATAAGCACTCATACAAAAAAATTAGAAAAATATTCCCGACAATCTTTTTAGTTGTTATCACTAAGGTTAATATACTCTACAGCTCCTTTATTTCTTTCTCTGCATTAAATGTAATCATCGATTGATATCTTGTGTAAATGATCGAAACTAATGCATTAAACTTTTTGTTTTCTTGAGACAATATTCAACATACGTAAAAGTCCCATATGCGCTCATAGGAACTGTGCGCTCATTTGAGAAAATACAGTATTTTCAAATTAAAGTTTGTTTCACAGTGTCAAATGGTGTCGGAGCGGTTATTCAATTAATTGTACATTCTTCCATTTAGATTGACCCTGAGCTAGTGCTGCCATCCATGAGATCCGCCATAGAAACACAGCTGAACCTCATAGCCTCGGGGAAGGCAGACTTCCATGCGGTGACCAATCATGTGAAGATGATATTTAGTCAAAAGTTCAAATATTTTGTCAGTAATATTGTTGGAATGGATGAATTATTCGAAGTGACGTTTTCATCCTTAGCTTCCAGTGGAAAACCACTTTCAAGGTAGGTTGTCAAGGAAAATTGATTATTCTGAAAAATATTGTTATTTTGTTAGGGTCTACACCTCCCCCACTCTCCCCATTATAAAAAATCTTGAAATGTTGATTTGCTTGAATTTCACCCATTCTATCAACTGCCAGATCACCCATTCATCCTTGTGAATTGTTGACGGAACAGTCTTATAAAACCTCACCACAAAAGTAATTTAGAGAGAGAACACATTAGCACGCGGTAGTATCTCTTCGGGACGTATCGAAACCACTCCGTCCCGAAAAACCGTTAATTTGAATTTAAAACCTACCCCAGTGTTTGAAAATCAAGGATTGTGAGTCTCACACTTCACAGTTTTTCTTCAAACTTGTTCCGTACAAAGCTTCACAGAAATACCTTTCAGTCGATACATTGTTTTCGTGTACAAAGTACCTCGTTTTAGCGGCGTTTTGGTCCCCAGCTGCGAGATAAAGCAAATTTTCATAACTTTCAACTGTAAGTCAAGTTATCTCGCCAGTCTTTTACCCATTCTCGCTCATAATTTCAGAATGCACTCCCATTACAACCTTCCATCGCTACGTTTTGATTTTTGGGCATCAAACGCAGCAGTTTCTAAATCATCCACACATCTCTTCAAATTTGACCAAATTTGAGAAGTGTGGATGATTTAGAAACTGCTGCGTTTGATGCCCAAAAATCAAGACGTAGCGATGGAAGGTTGTAATGGGAGTCCATTCTGAAATTATGGGCGAGAATGGGTAAAAGACTGGCGAGATAACTTGACTTACAGTTGAAAGTTATGAAAATTTGCTTTATCTCACAGCTGGGGACCAAAACGCCGCTAAAACGAGGTACTTTGTACACGAAAACAATGTATCGACTGAAAGGTATTTCTGTGAAGCTTTGTACGAAACAAGTTTGAAGAAAAACGGTGAAGTGTGAGACTCAAAATCCTTGATTTTCAAACACTGGGGTAGGTTTTAAATTCAAATTAACGGTTTTTCGGGACGGAGTGGTTTCGATACGTCCCGAAGAGATACTACCGCGTGATTAGGTGAATCTGAATCTTTTTGAGCGTTTTGTAGGCATCTGTGACATGAGACCATTTTCTATCTCCTGGTTATCCAGTGTATGCAAATTATCAAATCAACTTTGCACTCTATTGTACAATGTAAAAAACGAAATCACTAACATGACTTTGCAAATCGAACCTCTTAATCAGTACCCCTGTTAGGTTAGGGTTTTTGTTGATAAATAGTTTACAGGGTAGTTTAGAGTGAATTCCAAATTACCTTCTGTCTGTTGATAAACAGGTTCATAGACTAACTAAACATAATGCCATTAGTAATGTAAATATTAAATGTAATTTCACATGTCAGAAATTGAAATTAACTGCATGAAGACCATGTGTGTTGCATTTAGCGAATCAATGGTGCCTGGATTGAAATGAATCAAACAACAGAACTTTCAAAAATTCTCATGTAGGCTTCTCTGTGAATTAATGCTCTGAATCACAAATTAACCTTTAAATGATAGAAACTTCAATAATGTATTTACAGTAAATAAGGTGCTTGAGTGTAAGAATAGATTTTATGAAAGAATAAGTTGAATCAAGTATAAATACACTGTTCTTGTAATTCAGGAATCCTTTCAAATATAAAATATCTACACCATGCTACATTTAATAAAAACCACAAGGTCTGTTATTAAAAGTACATGGATTTCAATGAGAAATCAATATAATGATTGCTCTTTTTCAAATTAATGTATTTCAATGATATTATTTTATTTTATTTATTGCAATTGTGGATGTGAGCTTGCCATAGATAAATGTGGCTGTGGTGTTGGTAGACCACACATGGTAAATCTGCTGTATGTAAATGAAATCCTGATAAAATAGGAAAAAATACGTATCATGCAAAATATACATGATCTCCCCAGCATAAGCAAGTGGCTGCTGAAAAATCATGAAAAATAGGCATATTTTGACCATATATGGTTTGAATTGTGAAAGTACGAATTTCACACTCACTTTGAGATAGAATTCTGAGTAAAACACTACATATGGTCTTAACATGTTCATAATACAACGAGACAATTAATGACCTATCATGTACATGGATTAGAGAGTGTAATAAAGTTTTCTGATCTGCTGGGATTGGTTGTTATATTATTTTCTAGGATAACATGAAATATTCAGCTTAAATTGAGTTTCACTGTCTCTAGGTCTCTTTGCTATGAATACCATTGGTAAGCAAATATAGAACCAAATTGAGACCTTCCATATAGAGGCCACTGTCACTCCACTAAGCTTGATAAAAAATCTAAACTCTGCACTAAAATCTTTTTCTAAGATAATTGTAAGATTTCTTAAGGTTTCTGAGAATTCTTAACATGATGCATCAATAAAAGTATTCTTTCCATTAAAGATATACAAGGGGTGTACCATAAGTAAGGTGACTCATGCTCTTGCTTTGTTTGATAAAATCACCTAATTTTTCAGAGAACATTTATCGATTTGTAGTTGTTGAGTATTGAAAAAGATGTCATTAATTTATATTCAGATGTGGGAAATGTCGCAGATTTATGAAGTTCATTCAAGCAAAACCAAGCCGCCTCCACTGCCCCCAGTGTGACGAGACTTACAGCTTACCTCAGAATGGTGCGATCAAGCTTTACAAGGAACTTAAGTGTCCCTTGGATGACTTTGAGCTGGTTATCTCTAGCACAGGTTCCAAGGGAAAGGTATGTTTACATGTTCATATGCTTATGAATGAAGTATTTGTTTTTGTAGTTCTGTATTGGTTAGAGCATTGAAAGAAAACATGTCTGTTTTCTTCTCTCGCTAATTGCACTCTGGTGCTGGATTTTCATGTTGAAATATTGAAATTCACAAAATATACAGGTACTGTACTTTGTATATAAAGCTACTTATACATGATATCTGCAATGATCACTGAAAATTTCATGCTGATACTTCAAGAATCATAAAATGAGAGCATTTGGATCAGTAATTATTGAAGAACCCTCGTATAAGCTGATCTGACAGTATGAAGCCATGCCTGATCTTGCTATGAACTATGTGAAGCTTATGTATTTTCCCACTTCTAGAGCTACCCCTTGTGTCCATATTGCTACAACAACCCACCATTCAGGGAGATGAGAAAAGGAATGGGCTGTAACGAATGTACGCACCCGACGTGTGGCCATGCTCTGCAACAGTTTGGTGTGGCTTTGTGCCCAGAGTGTGAGAATGGGATCCTGGTACTGGACCCAAATTCGGCACCGAAGTGGAAAATGGCTTGTAACAATAGCAAGTGAGTGAAATGTTCATAATTGGAGCTGTTGTTTCATTTTATTTTACTTTGGTGCCTTTGGTCATTGAAAGTCATTGAAAGATGGCTCTGAAATTACACTGGGGAATCTTTGATTGACTCATTCTTGAGTCTATCATTCTCACTATGCATTTTCCTAAAATATATAATATTTCCATATTGGTTTAAGTACCCTTGGCTTTCTCTCACTGTGTTTGCATTCTGTATGGAAGACATTTAATCGATTTATAACCTTGTTGCTATATGGTTTTACATGTTCATTTTCAGATGTAACGTAGTAGTCAACTTCTTTGATAATGCCCATCGTGTTGCTGTCTCAGAAGAGATGTGTGAGGAGTGTGGAACTGCCATATTGGATGTCACCTTTAACAAGGTAAGGCCCTTTAATGTTTACTCTGTGGTGCCTCCCTTCCTGGTATAGCATTTTGCATGCTTTTCTTGAGGCTAACATTTTTTACAATTGACCCTTTTCCATATAAACGGAAAATAGATGGCATCATGGGTATTGGTAGGGCTAGGCTACAGCTAGAATACATGTAAATGTATTGCCAGGGTCACTTTATTTATTGATTTAAGAAGTAATTCCATTTAGATCAATGTAAAACACTATTGGAATGTAACTATATCTTATTGACATGTGGATTGCGATTTCATAATAAAATTGTGATCCTTGTAGGAGTAAATGAACTTTTAAAGGTTTTTCAGCATTGTGTCAATGGGGATTTAGCCCGACTTTTTTTAGACAACTAGAAAATCATTAGAATTTGAATAAAGGTAAATAATACTGCAAATCAACGTTGTTTTGATAGAAAATTACACACAGAATTCAAATATGCCATCAAATAGAAAAAAATGTTAGTCTCTAATGGTTAAAAATGCAGATATCCTAAAATTTCATTAAAAATGAGACTTTAACGAGATTTCAAAGCTATATGGAAAAAGGACCATTGGAAAGGTATTTTTGTATTTTTTATGGTAATTACTAGAAAAGGCTGATTAAACATGCCTGGTCCTTTTCTCAAAAAGAATATTCTCTAAACAGAAAATTGACCTTAATAGTGTTTGAGGTTAAACCCATCCCTCTCATTAAATAATCTTTATGCATATCAGTTGTGGAAATAGAATTCTGGATTTAAAACATTAACCAGCCTGAAACATTACAAGTAAACAATATTGGTTGGTGAATTATGGTTTCAAAAACCAATAATGATGACATTGACATTGTTGCAAGGGTTATTTATGCAGGAATAACACATACACGTACACTTGTGTCAAGATTAAATACTTTACAGCTGTTATGAAATATGTGATATTTACGACATCCGGAATTGAAATTTTGAATACTTGTCTATGCATCCTGTTTGTATAGAATTTATTGCGGAGTTTACCACACAAAAAGTCAAATAAATCAAGATATTTTGTTTTTTAGTAGACCCAACTATTGAATTTGTTTTGAAGGTTGAATTGTAGAAATGCTCATGATATCAGTTTCATATGCAAGAAAGAAATCTTCAGTCAGCTGGACTTAATGAACCTTGACAATGTAGACTAGTGATTGAAATATGTTTTTAAACGCTACTCAGGGGCATCGTCACAAATGTCAAGGAGGTGCAATTTTTTAGGATACATCTCTGTGAGGGAAGCAAGGTGGTTATGGGGGGGGCTCACCACCGTACATTTTCAAAATTTACATTGTATATGGTGCATTTTAAGTATTTCAAAATATAATTTGTCACTATTTTTTGTGAGGGTTGGGGGAACACTGGTGGATCTAGTCCATGAGGCCCCCCCCCCCCCCGTTTCGTGGGCCCAGAAAAAAGTTTCAGGGCCCCAAACTTTTGTAAAGGCCTCAAAAATTGGCCTTTTTGGGCATAATTTGGCCTTTTTTGGGCCAATACATTATTTAGGCCTTTTTGGGCCAGTTTATAAAAAATGGGCCTTAGTTTTTAAAAATCTGGGCCTAATTTTTGGTTTTAGCAGCCCAAAATTTTTTTTCTTGATCAGACTCTGGGGAAGAGAGTTTACCAATCAGTGATATCTTTATAACTATTAGTCTATTAGTGCAGTAACATCTCAAAAAGAGAAAATACATGGGCATCAAATAATACTTGATCATAAATGTGACAATAGAGACAATTTTTGGAAAACTGAACAAGCTCCTGTGCAAATACATGTACTTTATGTGTAATATTGTAAATTCATTTTGCCTGAATTATATTTTGCAGACCAAGACTCCACTGACAGATGGCGCTACGGAACATTCTGGCTGTCCATTCTGTGATGTCATCTTAAAACCATTAGTGGAACTAAAACATGCGTCATTGCGGATGCGTGGATTTAACCGCAACAGAGCCTCTAGGGGAAGGGGCAGAGGACGTGGGGGTAGGGGTAGGGGGAGAGGTGGAAGAGTGCCAAAGGATAAAATGTCGCAACTAGCTGCATATTTCGTGTAGCCAAGGAAACACCCTTGCAAAGATGTTACTTTGTGTTGTTTTGTCTACCCTTTAAAAATGTAATATTGTATGGCATAATTGAAACGGCAGCTCTTTTGAAATCAGATTGCTGCAATCAAAATAAATCTGTTTAGAGGGTTACAATATGATTATTGCAATGTTATGAATTAATTTTCCCATAGGATGTAATTGTACAGTAAAACATAAAGAGCGAGCTATTAATGAATCAAAATATTTTTGTTACCATTGGTGATGTTTTGATATTAAATCCCTAAAACATGCAACTTCTGTTTCGAACAATATCTATTTAATATTTGAAAAACACACAGTCAGTCAGAATAATTTGAGTTTTTCTATACACTATCCAGAAGTCTATATTTATTCTAAAGTGAATTAAGATTATTGTAATTTTTATTCTAAGTGACTTTAGATTATTGTAATCTTTGCAAGGGACGGCGGGGATTATGTTTTTGAATTAATGATTCATTTTAGTACCTTTCCTCCATTGAAGTAGAATACCACATTGTCAGAAATTTTCTTCAAATGATGTAATACAATTATTAAGTGCTCCATAATTTATATGTAGGGAAAATGAATTGTGGACTATAGATTTGTCTGAAATATTTGCACTTTATATAATTAATGTGAAATATGATATGGAATGTCCACGACAATTTGAGATTTTAATCTGAGGGTACAAACAAAAGGTTGTTGCATCTCATGTTTCTGAATGCAGAATATGGCATTGAAAGCTCCACATTTTACGGATTAAGTACTTGAGGCCCTTACAATTGGATTAATTTTTGAGGATATATACCTGGTTTGCTAGTTATCTCCACAAACATATGAAAGAGATAGATTTTCCCTCAATTTGATATATTTATCAGAAAATTTACCAAAACAAGTAAATGTATATGTAGCATGATTAGCATCACCTCTCACCTGGCCATTCCTCAAAAAAAATAATTTCAAAACACAATTTTGTTGTAAGGGCTTCCCCGGAGAATAGAATAATAAAAGCATCCATGTTGGCCTTATTGCAACTTGTGAAATAGATTTGAGGTATAATAAAGGGACTAGGTCAATTTAATAATGGATTCCCTTCAATACACTTCAGATTACCTATCATCAAAATATTATCACCACATGGAATTCGATTTTTGATTTTTAAAATAAAGCACATGTTCTGGTTAACTTTTCATCGATGGCCTTCCCTCTTAATAAACTTAAGTTTGTTCTTCAGCAAGTGTTGACTTTCGGGCACTATACATTACATGGATAATGATATGTTGACTTGTGAGTTGTTTTACTCTTCAACTGTGAAAGAGTCTGTTTAGACAAAGCTAAGATGTACTGTACATCATAAGGAAAAATGTTAAATGGGACAATGACTATGGAATACATTGCACAATAACAGAAGCCATTGTAGTAATTCTATAGTAATTCATCCATTCAGTGAAAGAGGATGTGGAAATTACTAGGGAATGTCACCCTGGAGGACATTTCTATCACATTTCTAGCACCAGTGAAAATGGCTTCCTTTTGTTAAAGAAAAGAAGGACATTTTTATTATTGTTGAAATGGTTTCCTTTTCGTGAAGAAAGAACTCGGTATATTAACAAAGCAAAATCCAAATTTACTTCCTCCCTCTAAATGTAATTTAACTTAGTGGGCTTACATTGATAATTTACAGGCCTTGTCCCTTAATTGATTTAACAGAAGTGCTGGGAATAATTCTTGATCATTATAAAGTTAATTCAAGGAGAAAGTACAGCTAATCACAGGGTATACTGTGATTTTGTTATGTCCTGGAACCTCCTCTCAATATTATGTGTCTTGATTGTAGCCCACCATGTACATTTGTAGCATTTGTCTGCAGAAATATCACGGATGAAGGCTAGAAGAATTCAGTTCCATGTTTGGCATTAGAAGGATGAGGTACCCGGATTTTCCTCCATACATCTTTAAAGTTTGGCTATTTTGTTTAACAAAACAAACATTTATATCGCAATGCCTATGCAATATGCAAGTATCACAGTTCTGTTGCATGCACATTATTATGCTGTATTTAAGTGAGAGATATTGTTAAACGTTTATTGATTTACCCTCGCCTTAAATCTAGAGACTTATTAATCATTAATGGTAGAGGAAGAAAGCCCTTTGTAATTCAAACTATGGTTTCATGTCTTCATCTTCGAATTGACATATTGACATTAAGTACAATCTGAACTCTTGAAATTCTTTCTTATAAGTAGTGAACAAGGGATGGAGTTGTAGATCTTGGGTTTCTACAGTAAATGCTATCTTGGCTTGGTCTTGTAGGAAAAGATATTAAATATGTTGTATATCATGTCAAACAAGAAAATGTTGTAAGCGTGCATTGATTAGAAATATTATTATGAATTGAAACTTTTTTATCATTTATCATGTTTCCAATTGTCAAATCATTAGACTATTTCTTTTTTCACCAACTCTGATGTGACATCTTTGGTAGTTTTTCATTTTTGAGAAATGTAAAACGAGAAAGAAGAACAATCACAAAAATGTTCCTGGCTGGCTTGTCTAAAATTTTAAACCTTGTGACTATATAGAAACAAGGATCTTGCCTTTTGAAATTGAAACATCAGATTTCATTTGTTGTGAGATAAGTTTATCCAAAAAGGGTAAAAAACACTAAAATAAATTAAGAAGCATCAAAGAGTTTTTATTGTATATGGAACAATTGAACCCAACAATCTTTATTTATGACTAATTTCATAATGAATGTAGGTAGCTTGCTATGGGAGTAGGCACATGTTATCTACTAAAATGATGAATATATGTTTGGATGCACTTGTTCCTAAAGCCCAGTTTTTTTAAAGTAAAGTCTGATAGTTGAGACAATAATTTCATTCCATGCCAGACCTACATAATAGCTTTCTAAAATATGACCAAGAACAAATGTCAAAAGTGTATACAAATGACCCTATTTATTGTTCTCAAATGGATATCTATGTCATCTCAAATGAATTTGTAAAAAATGTAAAATGTAATAAAGAAAAACATTTTATCACTGATATTTTTCACAAAGTTTTATTAGATTGAATACCTTTTAAAATGGTGTATTCCTCTAAATGTAACTTACAATTTAAATTCATGTCTCAGAAGATCCCCTTCTTTACAGGCACATTGTTGGGTATAGGATTTTTCAAATTTATGACGTCAATTTATGGTAAAAAGTCACCCTCACGATTTTGGGAGTTCTTATATTCAATCCTTTCTAACTTTTTACTATATATACGAAATCCTTTGAAATTTTCTCCATTTGGTCAAAGTATTCATATATTATACCTCTGAAAGTTTGGTATGATAATAACGAAAAGTAAAAAAATATGATTGGTAAAGGACAATGTACCTTTTTTTCTTTACTGAGGGTTTGTGAATGTACCTACGAAGGATGTTTCTGAATGTAATTTATGCATGTTTTTTGGTCCATGGCTTAGATTATTTCTCCCAAAACGGTCTTCCTTTATAGCCAAACAAATTGGGATTCAGTACTGTTTCAAGGTCATTTATTTTTATGTAAACTAGTAGACTAGCAGACATGATACATTCTGACGCATGCTTTGTTGCACCTGTAAAGAACAAATGAAATATTGTTTACAAATGTACTTAATAATTATTTATCAGTTTGTAAAAAAGTTTTATTGTATACGAACGTCCCCATTTATTTATAATGTACAGGTGTCTATGTGATCAGCAGCTGAACAAAACAGTACAATAAATTATATTAAGTCAAGGAAAATACATGAACACTCTTTGTTTTTTACTTTGTCATTATCATTAATATGTTACAAGAACATCCAGATACTTAAAGTAGCCAGTACCAAGAAACCAGAAAAATAGCGTATTTCATTATGATTAAATTGATATTATTTCCTGTTCCTCAGGATTTTCCTATTTTCCCCTCATTTAAAGAGATTTCGTACTTTGATGAAGCATTTGATCGGCATTTGAAATTGCATGCAACATGTTATTCGAAGACATAGGGGGTCTTGCCGCACATACGATAATGCGACAATGACGACTTTCAGTTTAGTGAGAGAGGAAAGATTCAGGAAAAACCTGACGGAATGAAAATGAAGTATTTGTATAAAATATTGTATAAATGTTGTCGTACTAAATTATACTCTCATACTATGTCAGATCTAATGTTGTAATTATATTTATTTATATGTATGTTTGACAAAATAATGTTGAGAACAAGTGCTTCAAGCACTTCTTTTATTTAATAGAAAAATGCAAATACTGATCCATTGAGAAAAAATGTCTTCTAAATTCAAAAAAATATTAAGGCTTATTTGATTCACCCGTAAAACTGAAAATAATCTTGGGTACGAGTTGTCTTGGGTACCAGTTGTCTTGGGTACGAGTTGTCTTGGGTACGAGTTGACTAGGAAGCATCTATATAAACCCAGTTATTAGCGTTTTCTGAATGAAAAATTCAAACACCGAATGCCATTTTACATGTAGTTCCACATGTGACTCTTGCCAATGGATCCGCGCTTATTTAATGTCGCAAAATATTGGTTTATTGGAAAGGTCTTTTTTTTGTTAACAATCACTTCTGTTTGAAGAGGCTGGCATCATTACCCCACCGAACGAAATTCTAGGGATATAGAAAAGCCATCCGTTCGCTTTATAGGCTAATTAGCCTTACTGATGTAGAATCTCTGCTCGAAAAGGAATTTTCAATATGGTCGGTCAATTCAAAATGGTCACCAAAGCATGAAATCTTTGATAACTCAAATACTAGTTGACAGATTTAGTTCAAATTTAATATGCTATTGCCTAGTTTAATTCACCAAGAGAGGTCAGGATTTATAATGTATAAGGTCTCTTGACATATTGTATTGTATTGTATTTTATCGTATATTGTATTGTATTGACTTCAAAGAAACTTTTGTTAGAGAGTTAAATGTAGACACGCAAATTCGAAACAGGATGATATATTAACTTTACTAATTTGAATTTCCAATAGACACGTTTTGTTAAAGAACATACCCATATCAAAATAGGAAGGCCAATGCATTAAGAAAGGCACGCAATGATTTATAAAATCAAGATTACGATTGATTGAGCAATACCGAACAGCTTATTGAGGGAATTCGTTTGTTGAATGTTGATCATACAATTTATTATTTGGTATTATTGTTCTTTGTCATGAACTTCTCCCAGACATAAAATACACCAGTCAGCAAAGGGTCAGAGTGTACTTTCGGCCATTTTGATGAAATTTCACGATCACATGCTACTTTAAGATAAACATAACATGGTCTTCATTATTGCACAAAATGTGTATTAATGTACTTAGATAATTATTGAGGGTTGACAATTCTTTAAAATGTATGCATAACTAAAATATACAGTGGTCTACTTTTCAAAATTGGAAACAAATTAACCCAAAAAGACAAACTATTGATTATGATTTTGCTGCATCGTAATAAGATTACCCATTGATTTGAAATGTGCCATATGACTGCCATCGACATACTTTTTAGTAAGTTCATTCATGGATGTGGCTGTTCGATGCTTACGTTAAATAACATTATTCGAAGGGTACAGTTCAGTATTCTTTAGAAAGGTATTATATAACATGTTCATAAAAAACTCTAATTATCTAGCGTTTGCCTCTGATGTCATGTAAGTCAAGGTGATATGCGGGATGATATGTCAGACAGAGTTGACTATAAAGATACTCCTGTCATGCAGAGTTTTACTTATTCAATGTAGTATATTAGTTACGTCTAGCTTCTATTTCATACAAGCCAAGGTGATATGTCAGACAGAGTTGACTATAAAGATACTCCTGTCATGCAGAGTTTTACTTATTCAATGTAGTATATTAGTTACGTCTAGCTTCTATTTCATACAAGCCAAGGTGATATGTCAGACAGAGTTGACTATAAAGATACTCCTGTCATGCAGAGTTTTACTTATTCAATGTAGTATATTAGTTACGTCTAGCTTCTATTTCATACAAGCCAAGGTGATATGTCAGACAGAGTTGACTATAAAGATACTCCTGTCATGCAGAGTTGTACTTATTCAATGTAGTATATTAGTTACGCCTAGCTTCTATTTCATACAAGCCAAGGTGATATGTCAGACAGAGTTGACTATAAAGATACTCCTGTCATGCAGAGTTTTACTTATTCAATGTAGTATATTAGTTACGTCTAGCTTCTATTTCATACAAGCCAAGGTGATATGTCAGACAGAGTTGACTATAAAGATACTCCTGTCATGCAGAGTTGTACTTATTCAATGTAGTATAGTTAGCCTCTAGCTTCTATTTCATACAAGCCAAGGTGATATGTCAGACAGAGTTGACTATAAAGATACTCCTGTCATGCAGAGTTTTACTTATTCAATGTAGTATATTAGTTACGTCTAGCTTCTATTTCATACAAGCCAAGGTGATATGTCAGACAGAGTTGACTATAAAGATACTCCTGTCATGCAGAGTTGTACTTATTCAATGTAGTATAGTTAGCCTCTAGCTTCTATTTCATACAAGCCAAGGTGATATGTCAGACAGAGTTGACTATAAAGATACTCCTGTCATGCAGAGTTCTACTTATTCAATATAGTATATAAGTTAACTTCTAGCTTCTATTTCATACAAACCAAGGTGATATGTCAGACAGAGTTGACTAAGATTGTATTCCATATCACATAACGTTCTAGTCGCAATAGCTTATATGTCATGTAAGCAAACGTTTTAAAACATACACATAAGACATAAA